CTTCACATTAACTTTAAAGATAACAATCTCCAAAGCAAGCACAATGATGTAACAAAATATGTAAAAAACGAAAGAAGGGTTCTAATTTTATCAGATGAAATTGGAAGAGGCTTGGACAGGGAACTGAGAAAACAATTTGGACAGTCGAGATTATTTTAAAACCAGGGGCACAACTTGATAAAGTAATAGAAGACATTCCAAATCTCACAAGAACATTTACCTCCAATGATTATGTAATTATTATGGGAGGAAAAAAGGACATTCTCAAAAATAGGTATCCTAGCATCAGGAGTATTAATTATAAATTAAAACAATGTACTCATACAAATATTATGTTTTTATCGATACCTCTTCTTAAGACAAATATCAATCAGACTATTAAATTTAATTCTAAACTAGAAGATTTCTTAAATTACGTCGATTGGTACCAACAAAATTATTTTTCTTTTTTAAATGTTAGTAATGAGTAATGAGAAAGGGTATAAAATAAATAATTTTAAATTGTCGTTTTTACTTAAAAATAAAACATGTTTAGAAAAGAGCCCAAATAATTTAGTTTTTGTTAAAATTAGGGACCAGGCCGCCGCTGGCGGAAACAATATAAAAAACAAAAATATTATTCTAAGTAATATTAGTATCTTCTCTGATGATATGGAAACGGAAAGTCTTCATCAAATCGTAAAAGATTGTGATGAAAATTTTCTTGAATACTCTTTATCTTAACTGTAATGATTCTGTTAGTTCAAATAAAGATAGTACTCAAATTGGGGAATTAAATAATGAGAATTTTCGTCAAGCTCTGAAACCCGAACAAAAAAATACATGTGACACTCGGGGACTGCCGCGGTAAAGCTATTGCATAGCATTTTTTATCAACTTATGCAATTATAATTATTTATTTATTTTATTTATGCAGTATTTTTTTTTCTTTGAAATATCAAAGAAAAAAACTTGAATTAATAAATTCAAGTTTTTCTTCTTTGATATTAATTCAAGTTACACTTTTTGAGCGTGGTGACCGATAAGAAAACAATTATTATTCTTTTATTGAATAAATGAGAAGTTAATATTATTTAAAATATTTTTATTACCTTACAATACATGTAGGTTATTCAGGAATTTTTATCATTAAAATTATAGGTTTATGGTAACTAACATAAGTTTGAGACTTGATATCCTCTAAATATCTGGAAAATACCGCGTCAATGGTGGTCCCATATTTTGTTGTGGATTCTTGTGGATCATTATTCATTTTCGAATTCAATTTTTCCGAAATTGTGTCTAAAAGAGATAGAATCAGTTATGAGCAGTTAGCAGCTAGTCTACACGTCTAGTCGCACGCACACAAACACCGTGCCGAAGTCTGCCGAACTGAAACGACGTTAGACGATGCACGGCTTTCAACCCCGCACCGCTGTGCCGGTCGGAGTTGGGGGTGTTAGGTTTATTTTCGTTACGGAATTTCTTTTTAGATTTTTCGATTTTTTAATTTTTTCGATTTTTTCGTATTTTCGATTTTTCAATTTTTCCATTTTTCCATTTTTCCATTTTTCCATTTTTCCATTTTTCCATTTTTCGATTTTTCGATTTTTCGAATTTTCCATTTTTCGATTTTCTTTTATTGAATAAATTAGAAGTTAATATTGTTTAACGCCACACCGCTGTGCCGTCGGAGTGGGGGGGGTGTTTTTTTTTCGTTACGGTTTCGTTTTTTTTCTTGATTCGGTCGCCGCGCTCAAAGCCCGCGATAAAAGCTATGCAATAGCTTAATAACAATTAATGTCTCTAAAACAAATACATTTAAAATTATTTATGTTAACGCTCAATCTATGAATAACAAAACAAATCGTTTAGAATTAATTTTAGAATTTGAAAGTCCAGAAATACTTTGTTTATCAGAAACTTGGTGTAATGAAGAATCTATAAAGAATATAGTTTTTAAAGATTTTATTGTAGCCGACGGATATTACCGCAAAACTAAAATACATGGAGGAACTGTTATTTTTGTCAAAAATTCCTTAAGTTTTAAAAAACTAATTTTTATTAAAAGTTTCTCTGAAGAGTGTCTGTTTGAATGTTGTGGAATTACATTTAGCCTAAATAATATAAAATGTTGTATAATATGTATATATAGATCACCTGATAGTTCCACTGAATTATTTTTACATAAAATGTGGAGATTTTAATATAAATTTTTTAATTGAAAGTCGTGAAAAAAGCTGTTAATGGATGTAATGGAGAGTTTTAATTTACAATGTCAAAATGTAGAACCGACCAGATTGTCACTTGACAAAAATGGGAAAATTTCTAAATCAAAAATAGATTATTTTCTAACAAATTGTAGTTACGATTACAAAGAAATAGTACAAGACTTTGATTTATGCGATCACTATGGGCTTACTATAACGCTAAATCACTCTACGAATTCTCAAAAAGAAAATAACATGAAAACTGTTTCATTTAGAAATACTTCATATACAAATGTATGTAGTCCATCCTTGAAAATGTCACAGGAAGATTTCTCACTTGTTTTTAAAGCTCCATTGGATATTGATGAGATTTATAATACATTTTTAAACATATTTTCCTACCAGGTAAATCAGACTTGTCCAATGGTAAATAAAAATTACTTTGAAAACAGACGTAATACAAAGTGGGTAAATAATGAAATTGTAAAAATGGGAAATAATTTAAAAAATATGTATTGGCTCACAAAAAATGTTTCTGATAGTCATATATTGGAACAATACAAAATGGAAAAAAAGATATGCACAAAAAATTAATAAATGCAAAAAGAAATTTTTTCAAGAAAATTTAGCAAACAAAAATATGCAACAAAAACAAAAAATTGTTTGGAAAACTGTTAATTCCAAACTGAACAAACAGAAAATTGCTAATTTTAGTGAAATACATGATGCTAATGGTATAAGATTAACAGAAAATTTAGATATTGCCAACATGTTTGTAGATTACTTTTCTTCAATTGCTAGTTATGCAATTAAAAATCATTTTTCCAACACTACTTTTATTAATTACACCACTATGTTTGTTCCAAACAGATTTCAGTTTATAGAAGTGAATTATAAATAAGTGATAGAAACAATTGCATCTCTAAATAACACCAATGCAGAAGGAATTGATTGCATTTCCACTAAAATTATTAAGACAATTGCCCCATACATTGTGAATTCAATACCTTGTGACACCAATCTTTAAAAAAGGGTGTCTCTTGTCAGCGAATAACTACAGACCTATTACAATCCCCACTATAATATGTATAGTTTTTGAGAAATGAGTAGGTCAATAAATGTTATCTTTTCTAAAAAAATTTAATATCTTAACTGAACATCAACATGGTTTTCTTCCAGACAGGTCTACGGAGAGTGCACCTACTGTTTTCTTCAACTATATATATATCGTCAGCTAGATAAGGGGCAATATGTGGGTGCACTCTTCTTTGACTTGTCCAAAGCTTTTGACACAATTGACATATCCATTTTTCAAAATAAATTACATGCATTAGGTTTCAGGGGCATAATTTTAAAATGGCTAAGTTCTTATTTAGATTCACGTCAGATATGTGTAAAAGTGGGTAACTGTAAATCAGAATTGAAAAGTCTAACCCGAGGAGTGCTACAAGGCTCAGTTTTGGAACCATTAATATTTTTGTTGTATGTAAATGATCTTCCCCAGCATGTGTCTGCAGATTACACCATACTCTATGCCGACAATACAACTTTAGCATCTCATGCTACTTCTCCAGATGAGCTGCAGAAGAAGCTTCACTTAGTAGCTTCAGATTTTTCAACTTGGTGTAATAAAAATTCCTTAATCTTAAATTCTGATAAAACAGTTGCTCTTCAGTTTTTTCAAGGAATAGAATTTATGATAATATATGTGTAAAGGTAAATTGCAATGATGTCTACTTGTCGCAGAAAACAAAATTTCTGGGGGTACTGCTAGATAGTGATATGAGCTGGGAATCAAATATTAATTACATCTGTAAAAAGGTTCATAGCGGTTGTTATGCTCTACTTCAATTAAAACAGATATTTACATTCAATCAACTTCTACAGGTATATTATGCAATTGTATATTCACACATATCATACAATATTACACTCTGGGGAAATTCTCCTGCTGCTACAAGAGTATTTATTGCACAATCAAGAGCAATTAGACTTACCTTCAATCTGGAATCAAGACAAACATGCAGGGAACATTTTATTAAACATCACATACTCACTCTACCCTCAATATATATAATATTTATAAGACAATCTTATATACAAAAAAAAAATGAAGCTAAATTTTTCAGGAACAATGATTGTCACAACTATCCCACTCGTAATGGCAATATATTACATACAATTAAGCATATATCTGCTCTCTATGAACATAGTCCTGAGTATGCAGGAATTCAATTATTTAATAAATTGCCAGCTGATATTAAAAACATAAAATCCATTAACAGCTTTAAACAAACATTAAAAAAATTTTTGGTAACAAAATGTTTTTATAATATTTAAGATTATTACTAGGTAACGTAATATATATTATGTATATGTATGTATGTGTGTGTATATGTATGTATATTTTAAATTGTGTTTTGTCCACTACATGTATCTTGACATATCCTACATCATTGTATAGTGATCAAAAAGGACCAATAAAGATTTATTATTATCATCATAGATATCTTTTACTCCCCTTGATTTTCACGCAACCTCTATCGAACTAAGAGGTCTCTTTACTATTCTTAGGAATGGTTTGCTGCAATACCTTCCACAACTTAATAGAATTGTGGATTTGTTGTTCATAGTATTTAGTTTTTTATTTTCTAATTACTGCATATTATTTGTAATTGTAGACCGTTAATTTCTTAATTTTGTTTTCTGAGAAATGGTCTTGCTTATAAATGTAGGTTCATTGCATGGTTTAATTTCTTCCATTTAGTTATCAAAATGGAATATGAATTTTAATTAATATCTGTATTTCAGGATAATAAATTTCTTAAAGTATATTTGAGAATAAAAGGTGACAGTGAAGAATATAAAGATATATATGAAGTGAACAAAAACAGCTTGACATGTAAAAAATCGGATATTATAAAAAAGAATTATACATTTTCAAAAATATTTGGGCCTGAAGTTAATCAGACAGAAATTTTCAACTATACTGCCAAATCTAAATTACTTTCCTTTATTAATGGCAAAAATTCTTCTTTATTAACTTATGGAGCTTCTGGTTCAGGTAAAAATTTATATTTTGTATTTTCTAAGAGAAAATATCTATATTTGTTTATTTTTACAGGCAAAACATATACAATCGTTGGAACACCAGAGGAACCTGGTTTAATACCTAGATCTTTAGAATATATATTTGGATCCATTACTGTTGAGCAAAAGACACCTCAAATAACTCCGTTACCTGATGGTTTTGTTAAAGAAATTGATCCTCAAATGTTGTTTAAATTGGAATCTAAAAAGGCTTTCATTATTAAGGCTATCCACATTGATCAAGCAGCTCATATAAAAACATATAAGTATGGTTTGATTTAAATTATTGAATTATCAATTTTTTTTTACTATAAATTCATATTTTCTTAAAATATGTCTGCATAGAGGAGACCCCTGATCAAAAATGAGTCACATTGCTTAAAAAGTTGTTACCTTCTTGAATGTAAAAAATTATTTTTTATTGTCCACTAGGTCGTTTACGCGTACTTGTGCTTGCAATATTTTCTAATGTACTCGCCATTCTGTAAAATTATAATATCTACTAATACAAAATTCCGAATCAATTAAAATACATACGATACGGCTGTGAATAAATAAAGTACTTATCTGTCAAAAGAAAAGTTCATTACAGTAAAAATCATGGAAACATGATTAAATCTAAACGAAAACTTTTATTAGGTCGATCAGATGTATTAAAATTTTAATTTTAACTACAAATAAGCATTGAAGGATAGGTATAAATAATGTCTGCCTCTTGAACCTATATTACGTTCTGCAAATTAAATTACTGCACTCCTTCTCTAGATTATAGCCGAGGTGGAAGCAGGTACGGACCAATTAAAAAGTTATCAACAATACCGGCCCACATGTTAATGGCAAATTACTGTTGGTGAGCTCTCACCCAACCAAAATGCGGTTGGTTTGCAGTATGCTGCAAAAACCATTGGCACAAATGTACCCGTGGCTGGTAATCTAACGGACCCTGTGCCTGCACTTTTTATAGGTGGTAAGGGTGCAACAGCTGCCCATGAAGTACTCCCCACGCTGTTTGGTGGGCAGCATTCATTTGATTTGCTATTGCATGCTTGCTGGTGCTAGATTGTTCAGTAATTCGTTCTAAAATTCCTTCCTCAAAGGCAACTGTTCGTGCAGTTCGTGCAGTTCCTCCTGATGATTTTAAATTGCCTTTTTCTCGTAATTGACGGCAAATGTATTTCGAGAATGATGTCGGCGATTTGGGTATCGCTCAGCTTCTCTAGTATTGCATCTTACCTTGCCATAAATAAGATGCATATCTGCATACTCTTCATACGTAAAATCAACCATTTTCACAGTTGAAACGCAAAACTGAATCACTAAAGAAACGAATGTGAAGCATTTTAGCTGCGATTTAGAATAAAATTAAATTGTCAACAACATTGAGTTTAGGAATGCGACGCTGATGAACTTGTATCGATACACAAAAAAGTGTTTATTGTTTATCTCTTTCCCTTTAATCTATTATATATCTTTAATATAAACTGTTTCCTGATAAAAAATAATTTGAATTAAAACAAAACAATTGTTATATTAAGCAAAATTAACTCTGGACCTAAAACTGATCATTTTTGACTAGGGGTCTCTATACAAAAATTGTTCACCAAAATGTTTCCCATAACCTCCTTAAGTTTGGCACAATTTTTTTTTGGAACACTCTTTATATTCATGATCCTACCTATCTACCTTTTTTTAAGAACTAGCATGCATAAAATGGCTCTGTTTTATTAGCTAGTTTATAAATAGTTGTACTACAAATAAAAAACTAATAATATTCTTAAAGTTGTTCCCCTAACATAGATTTTTGTGATTTTTCAATCCTACTATTCATTTAATAAATCAACTTACACGTGGCTACCCCAAGTTTAAATATAAAATCTTTAATTTTATACATAACTGTTTAAATTTAAAAATATGTGTATTGAAAAAATACGATACAAATCATAACCAACCATCCCCAAAACATCAAAACATGTTTTTTTTTCATATTTTTTTTTATATTTTTGAAAAATGTTATCATTTTTTTTTTTATTAATGATAATAATTACCAAATGATACCATAATATTTCAAAGGAACAATAATCATTATATTTAAGGTTCCAGAGCCACACCCTTGCTGTCGGCGCGTGTTTTAAAATAAATATTCGTAAATGATCTAATTTTTTATAGACAAATGCAAGCCAGATTAAGTTCAGAACCAATAGCAGAAGTTGAATACAAGGCAAATGCTTCAGTGAGTGTCTGGGTATGTTTCTCTGAAATATACAACGAAACACTATATGATTTACTAGTGCCTCATGTTTCCAAAGGAATCGCTCGTCCAAAACTTGAACTGGGAAAAACAAGAGACGATAATACGTATATTAAAAATCTTACCATTCTTAATGTTTCTAACGGTTTGGAAGCTTATCAGATTTTACAGTATGGATTGCAAAATCTCAATTATGCAGCAACAGCAATAAACTCGCACTCGAGTAGGTCGCACTGCATCTTCACTATAAAATTAGTGCAGTCGTCAAAGAATAGTGATGAAGTGTTCATCAGTAATTTTAGTTTTTGTGATTTGGCTGGTTCCGAAAGATTAAAAAAGACTTTAAATTTAGGGGACCGCCTTAAGGAATCCAATAAGATCAATACATCATTACTAGTTTTAGGTAAGTCATGTTTTGAACAATTTTTGTTGTTGTACAGTTTCGTAAATAAAATATTTACTCTATTTACCTTTAGTGTTTAGTGCAGTAAATATTTTAGTTGTGAATATGTATTTTACTTTTCTAAGAAAGTTTTAATTAAAATTGTTCATTCTGCATCTAATTCTACTTTTTTCATCAGGAAGGTGCATGGAAAACATAAAAAAATGTCAGCAAATAAAAGATAGAAGGTTGATACCATTCAGGGAATCAAAATTAACTCAACTTTTTCAAAAAGCCTTGATGGGCTTTGAAAGATTAGAAATGATCGTTAACATAAATCCATCTAGAAATATGTATGACGAAACTATTCATGTGTTGAATTTTTCTGCTATAGCCAAACAAATCATAATTGAAGAACAATTACCAAAAGTTGCAAGAAAAAGGACCAGGTTTTCTTTGCTTTTGGAGAATAAAGAGAAAGACCAACGTGGAAACAATTGTCTTAAAGGTAATGCCACTATAAATAAATTAGTTTCAATGTCAAAAAATTATTGGCAACTATATGTTCAGACAGATATAAACGTAGCTTTTCTGAAGACAACATAGCTGAATTCTGTAATTATCTATTGACAGAAATTTGGACAAATGTCAAGACAGAATCTTGTCCAAATGTATTTCTTATATAGTTATAATAGTTATAAGTTACAATGAGTTACAATAATAAATAAGTTACAATAAAGTACAATAATTGAAACCAATTATATAATAACAAGCACCTAGGTGAGAACACCTGTATGTGCTGACAAAAATTAAAATTTTATTTTAATTATATTTATTGATATAGGAAATAAAAAAAAAACTTTTTTTTTTTAAATAAAAAATAAAACTTGAACAATTTATGCAAGAAACAGAAAAAAAAAATCTAAAAAAAATCCATGTATTAAGTCTGTTATTCTTGGAATATTCTGATGAACTTTGCATTATTTTGGAAAATGTATATTTTGCTAACTTTACAGAATTTTTTATATTTGTTTAATAATATAATAATAATATATGAAGAGGTAGAGCGTTATAGAACTTTGTCCCTAGATAATTTACACTGTTTTTAAAAAACTCACTATTTGGTTTTGGTACTTTAATGCACATGTTCGATGCAGTTCTAGAGTTTTTTAAAAATTCATTTTTTTTTTTTATATAACACACTGCGTGAATATATAAACATCTAACATTGCTAATTTTTTCATTATATAAAGTTATTGTGGGACACAATCTATTTCTTTTATATATTAACGTCAAGATTTTGTTTTGAATGACATTTAACTGATTTAATGTAGTTCCATACAGGCCTCCCCATACTAAGATTCCATACCGTAGTATAAATTCTACTAGACTAGTATTGTTATTAGTAGATCCTGGTTGAGAAATTGTTTTAGAAGATAAAATTTATAAATCAGAAATCTGTTTTTTTGCTATATATATGATATGGCAGTCCCATTTTAAGTGCTGGTCTATAATTATACCTAAATATTTGGATGTTTCTGTTTCCTGTATGTCTAAATTTTGACATGTTGAGCTTCTTAATTGAGGTCAATCAGCCACTGTCTTTGAAAAAGCAATGTAGTTTGTTTTGTTAACATTCAAAGACAATTTAAAAACATCCAGCCAGTTTTTGACATGTTCCATTCCAGCTATAGCACGTGTCTTGACGGCTTCCCAATCTAGCACTGTATCATCAGCATATGATACAACTTTACCTTGAATATCAATCTGAGTTAAGCTCTTAATGTATAAATTAAATAGTATAGGTCCCAGAACAGTCCCTTGATGCACTCCAATTTGTATATTTTCAGGGTTACTCACATTGTCGCTGATCTTTACCTTCTGTTGTCTGTGTGTCAAATAATTTTCAAAAACCTTCAACGCGATGCTCCTCACTCCATTCTGTTCAAGAACATTTAAGAGCTTCTGATGTGGCACCGTGTCAAATGCTTTTGCTAGATATAGAAATACACTTGTTACCAGTATTTATTTCATTAGTAACATATGAAATCAATTCATGCATAGCATCTCCTGAGTTAAGACCTTAAGTAAAGCCATATTGGTGCTTGGGAAGTAAGTCATTAGTTTTTAAAAAATCTGTGTCTATCTTTCACACATTTCTCAAATATTTTGGCCACATTACTAATTAAACTAATAGGCCTCTAGTTAGTTATTAATTTTGGATTACCAGCTTTATAAATAGGTGTTATAATTGAAGTTTTAAATTGTTTAGGTACGATTCCTGTATTAAAAATACAATTAATTATATGCATTAAAGGTTCCAGTAAATACGGATGTAGTAGTTTCAGATGTTTACTGTTATACAATCAAATCCCGGGGCACTATTGTTTTTTAAACTATTTATGTGTTTTATAATATCATTTTCGCATATCGGTTTCAGAAACATTGATTTTTCAGTGACACAGGAAAATCCACATTACATTCAGGGATATTTGTGAATATATTAGTGCCAATAGTCGAAAAGTAGTTATTAGAATAATTCGCCATTTCATTATCATTTTCAAATTCCACATTATGTTGGTTAACAATCTGTAAATTGGTATTATTTTTTTTTATGATTTTCATTAGTTGCTTCAGAGATTAATTGATAAGTTTTTTTTCAGATCATTTTTGTTTTGGTTTATTTTATTGTTATAATAGTCATTTTTAGTTTTTGATATTAGTTAAATTATTTCTAAATGTTTTATAGTGAGTTTGTTTGTTAATAGTATAGTTTTTTTGTAGATATTTTAAGTTTATCCCTAGTTTTAATAGAATTAATTAAACCATTTGTTATCCATGGCTTTATGGATTTTAATTTTTTGAGTGGTTTGTCATGTTTCAATGATATTTAGATACCTGTCATAAAAAAGTTGTGTTGCAATTTCTAGATTATTTTCACTGCAAACACTATCCCAGTTTACAGTTTCGAATTTTTGTTTTAATTTATCAGTATCGATTTTAGTTATATGTATTGTAGGAACTTGCGTAGTTTTTGGCAGATTGTGAGATATTTATCATAATAGGATCATGATCAGTCATGTCATAGCTGATTACATAATAGATTTTCAGTCTTAATATTGTTTTTTTAAGAATATATGATCCAAGCATATTTTACTTTGTGGCCTCGTAATAGTGTTTATGTAAGACATGAAACCATGGGAGTACAAAATTGCTTGGCAATCAGTTGTTACTTGATTGGTTACATTTAGGAGATCAATATTAATGTCCCCTATGAATATTTCAATATTTCTATTTAGGTCATTTGGTATGAAATTTTCTAAATCCCTTATAAATGCTTGTGTAGAGGTTTGAGGAAACCTGTATACACCTGTAATGCTAATGATCCGATGATTGACTTTTAGATTTATTTTAGTGACACAAATATCAGAATATTCCAGTTTAACTATATTTAATTCTGCATTTAGATTTGACCTGACCAAAATTATTACAACACCATCATTTCTGTTAATGTTACCATTGTTATAGTGGGTGGTAAAGCCATCTAGGTTAAATTGAGAAATATATTCTGATTGGAAACATTCAGTCAAAACTATTATATCACAATAATTAATTTTATAACTTTCTAGAAATACTAACTCATCAAAATTCTTTTTAATACTCCTAATATTGATTTGTAAGACAGTTAGGAATGTTTCATTTAAATTAATTTTATTCGTTATATTAGCAGCAACAACGACTTCATTAATCGAATCAATTTGAATAGAATTTAATAGATTACTTTCTTGATTAATAATCATGAACTATTTGAATGTGTTTACAAATATTAGTTACGTTATGTTATTGATCTGTATACTCGGTTTTATTTTGCAATACTATTTGATGATATTTCAAAGAGGACAAGTCAAATCCAGTGCAGAATGGTTGTAGTCGTACTCAGTTTTATATTTTTCGTTAGAAGTTTTACAGTTCTTACAGTGTATTTTATTCTTTGGACACAAGCTAGCTTCATGTTCTTCACTGCAGATGTGGCACACGATTGCATTCTTACAGTTTTCTTTTTTATGGTAGAAACCTTGACATTTAAAACATCTGGGTATCTCCAAATCTTCATAAACCGGAAATCTTTCCCATCCTATACACATTGTTTTCCTTTGTATCAATTGTTTAAATGCAGTTCCTGAACATTCACAGTATACAGTATTGAAGCCTTTTTTCGTTTTTCTGATATATGTGGTTTTTATTTCACCTGTTATATCATTCTGTTTCACATTGGTCTTGTCAATTTCTTCCTTGGTCATATTCTCCGTAAAATTGCAGATTTTCATTCTGGGTCTTCTCATTTTTGTCAGAACTACATCATATGAATCTTTTAATTTATCTTGAACAGCTTTTTCTAGAATTTCAGCTTCTTTTTTTGTTTGACAGGAAAGTATAACGGAACCATTCTTTCCCATCTTTAATTGTTTCACTCCAACTTTTAAGTCAGTTAGGTTAATATTTGTTCCTAAATCTGTTTTTGTTTATCCATCGATACGTTTTTTTGCAACATTTACACATTATTTCAATATTTTTTTCTCTCTCAATTGTCATCCTTCACCAAAACATATTAGGTATTTTCCTTTGCATCGTAAGTGTAGCACTGAGCAACACCACTTCTGAAAATATCGTTCCATTTATACAAATTGTATGGATGGAACGATATTTTCAGAAGTGGCGTAGCTCAGTGCTACACTTTCGATGCAAAGGAAAAGACCTATTACCATCTAGCTACTTTCCTAGAAATGATTCATACATGAAATATTTTATAGCCTGGCCTCTAGGAGATTTAAAAACATTTATCCTCAATTAGAAGACTCATGCTCATACTCATCAATATACCTCTATAATACTAGGTTTTGTGTGACGTCTTGCACTGCCCATGGCAGGTACACTTCAAACTTCCCGTTTTCCCTGCGCGACCATGATGTGTTTTGTTTTATTACTTAGGGTCCAGGCGCCACTAAAATACACAGTTGCACGCAGGCAACGTAGGCAACCAGTAAAGCAGAGTTTCTGTCAGTGTCGCCAGTCTTAATGTTTGTATTGTTTTTAAATTATATCAGCTATGGCTTCTTTAATATATTCCAATGCGTAACAAGATGGTAAATATTAATGTGAATATTTCTAATTGAGAAAATAAATTAAACACAAGACATTAATTTGTATATTTTAAAATGAGTGTTGATTGTTTTACCTCGTTACTTGTAAACAACTATTTAAAGAACTTAAAATCATGACCTTTTGATCTCTTCATACTTTCTTAAAACTGGTAAATCTAATGGCGAACCTAAGCAAACTCTCCATGAGAACCGACTTACATGATCATGATGCATGGATAAAAACTGTTTCACTGTTTAAGGAGAACTGAAGATGATTTATTTTCTTTTTTTAACTTGCTGCTACTAGAAATAAGCAATTTGACAATTAAGCAATTTAAATTAGGAATTAACTATTTACTTACAGATAGCCCCTTGTACAGTCAGGAAGAGTTCATTGATTTGTTTGGGGAGAGAAATGTTAAATTATATTTGTTTTAAGGGTTGAAAGGGGCAATTCTATGCTCGCCACTGATGAGTTTCGGCAGGCTCACCACAATCGGGGTTGGGTTCCAGCTTGCCTTCCCTCTTCTAGGGTTCGCATGACGGCACTGTAGTCTTAGGGGATTATTGTATCATTATTTGGACACCCTTCCTATTCATTCAATTCATGCATTCTATTTATATACTTATTCCACTATCTAGTTACCAATTTGGTCACACATCCAGACTGTGGGTCGTCCACTCATGTCTAGGCTGTGATCGGTGTTTTGATGACCTTTCACAGTAAGCCAGCGATTTATGTATTATACACATTTTAATTTGTATTTGTTTAATATTCTAATTATTGTTTATGCATATGTGCCAATTTTAATTTGTTTGGCTAATAAAGATTATTATTATTATTATTACAGTGAACAATGTAGAATCAACATTGTTTCCTAAAGAGAAACAAAGAAAAAAATCTTACAACTCTTTGAACGAAGAATATCATCAACTTTTATTAGAGAAAGACAGTCTAATAGAATACTATGAAGAACAAATAGATTTAGAAAAAGATCGTGTTATCGAAATTTACAAAGACTTACTTGATAAGCGTCAGAAGAGGCATAATGATGAATTAATGAGGTAAATGACAGAACGTTTCTTAATTACCTTCTGTTAAAATAGGAAAGTTTTTTAAATCCCTTTTTAGTTTTCGCAAATCTTTGGTTGAAAAATATAATAGTCTTCTAATTTTTCAGTAGCTCATACCTGGCTAATTTTGGCGATACTTTGTAAAAATCAATATGTAGTTTTTTCTTTTTTAATAATAGTTTCCCACACCATAAACATAAACTATATAAATTATTTTTTAGGTTGAAAGAAGAATATGAACGAAAATGTGCCAATGTAATCAGTATCAGTAGTGATGAAAGCGATTCAGAAGAAGAAGAAGACGCTGATGAGTGGGAGGAAAATAAGAAGAATTTCAAAAGTTATTCTCGAAAAGAATTGATAAAACACATCATGACACTTGAAGAAACTTTAAAAGAGGCAACAGAAGAAGGTTTATATTTACGAAGTGAAATAGAAAGGTAATTATAAATTAAACGAATTACTAAGGGGTCTATTCTGTAAAAATTCCTTTATATTTAACGGCCTTTAAAAATATTGGCGGTCTTTAAAAGTATATTTGTATTCGTTAATTTACTTCTATCATTATTTAAACAGACTTCTTTAATATAGTACTCTAATGTATTTTAAAGATCCGTTTAAATAATGGCAGAAGTAAAGAAGAAAATATTTTTAAAGGCCGTTAAATATAAAGGAATTGTTACAGAATAGACCCCTAACCCTGTTTGTAGTTATAAAGGAAATCTGTTATTTTTAATGGTTAATTTTAAATACAAAAAAATGTAGTATCATCCTTCGATCATACAAACACTAGATAAGTAATCGTTTCTACTTTTGTCTGTAACATGAAATTGAAATAGTCTTTAGAAAGAGATTGTATCCCATCTATGATTCGATTGGAAGATTTAATATTGGCACGTTTTTTATTGATTGAGTTGTTAGAAAGTACATCACCATTTCGTATTTTCGTAAGGGTATCCAGCTGTAGGTATCTATTTTGAAAGAATAAAAATATGATGCAGATGGTTTAAGAGTTGAAAGAAAATTGACGTAATTATCCATGACTAAATATTGAACAAAAATAAGACTAAAATTAAAATTGATGCAAAATATTAACTACCCAATGTTCTAGTGTTATTGTGCGAACTAGGTCGACTTACTGAGTAAGAATGGTGAATTCACCAGGACAAGCAAAACCGATAGTGCTATAATTTGCAATTGGTAATTACATCAAACATACAGTTTAAACCATTTTAATACATAATCTTATATTAAGCCAAAAATTACTACAGATAGAAAAAAATAAATAACTAAAAATGGAACTTATTTCTAATCTTTTTGCACGAATTTGAAATATTTAAGATTGTAACGTCATGTGATATTCTCATATTTAAAATAATAAGTTAGGTTTTACATAAATATTTGATGAATAAAACCAACCAATCAATTTGAGATAAAATTTTATTGTCCTCTTATAAAACCCAAAAATGTACATGTTAAAAATAATGTTGATATAAATATAAACAAACATAAAATATAACTTGCCTAAAAAGCAAAGAAGTATTATTTCTAAACCTATGAATAATTACTTAATATACTTAAATAAAATATACAATATAGGGTAGTGAGTAGTGCTCAATATCAATGAAGGTATTTCTAATGGTTGACTTACATCTACCTACATTTTTAATGTAACATCATTTTTCAAATAGTGTGGTTTTATGCGTTGGTATACATGAATATACATATGCTATGCACCCACCACCCCCAGCTAGCACAAAAACATCCCATCTACGTTAATAAGCTGCAATTTTAGGCTCTTTAAGCTCGCATGCAATGTACTGTAAATGTAACCCTATTATCCCTGCAACTACCGAATGTCCGCAACGGCAAGACTTTTATAGCACATCTCACAGAAGTTACAAAGTGAAGTTCGAAAAACATCACACTAGCACTTTTACGGTACTTACCCCGAAAGTTGCTCTGAAACGTTCTATTGATGTTATAATGTGAATTAGATCTACAGCATTATACAGTGTGTCCACGGATTGGCTTAACTATACTTGTGAAAATATTTATTTTAAATTAAAAAAGTAATTCTTCATAATTTCTTGCTTGTTAAATAAATTCGATTCACATTGAGAAATTATGAAAAATAACTTTTTCTTTAATTTAAAATAAATATTTTTACAAGTATAATTAAGTCCATCCGTGGACACACATTGTGTAATGTAATACAGAGGCTGAAATTGAGACTATAGTAAAATCTCAATCGAGACATGAAAATTTCAAATAAAACAAAATATTTATATAAATTTATTATTAAAATGTTCTTGAAATCAAGTACCAATAGCACAAAAGTAGAGGTAGGTGTAGGCGTGTTCTTTTATTCAGTGCTGTATCCAGCGCTTGCAGCAAACCGTTCGTAAATTAAGTGATGGAAAGACGATTGTATGTGTCAATCATTCTTTTTTCCAGCGGTGAGTTCACCAATGAGTCAAGGCATCCATCGGCTTTAAAAGCCGATGGATATGTGATAGACGAATGGTGAGGATAATCAATCATTTAAGTTAACCTAAAATATAAGAGTTCAAATATAAAACGACTGCAGAATAGATAAATTACATCAATCACTGATGGAACAATTATTGAATAAAAGAACACACCTTATATCACAAACACAAGTACACATGTGGGATAGAAGAAGCTACCTAGAAAGCACTGAACGATTGGACAAAATTAGCTAAATAGTATAATAAGGTACCAATATTGCAAAGGTTCACTAAAACCTTAAATGGTGAACGATGATAAAGCTAGATTGGTGAAAAATAATAAACGAATACAACAATGACTAGGTACATATTATTATATTAGATTACTAGAGGATAGCTAAGTTCGCTGATTTCTTACCTAAGACGCAGAGATATATCTTTTTTAAATCAAGCCTTTTAACTTTTTTTGCATAGATATTTATAAAGTGCTATACTTAATGTAACCTAAATATGACAATTTATTAGAAGAGCATAAATTATATTTTTATATAAAAAGATTTTACTTCTCAATACATTGAATAAAAAAGAAATTGATAACTTGTTTACCTATTATTAATTAAAGGAAATTATATAGAAATTAAAAAATATGCCTTACTTTGTTGTTTTAAATAAAACAACCAATGTTAGTGTATTGAAATTTGTTTGAATTTTACAAATTTTATGCTTGATTTCCAAGGTAGATATATCGATGGCTCAATCAAAAACCGCCCCAAGTCAATAAACAAAGCAATTACATTTTTGGTTCAATGGATGCAAAATATCATTACGGTTTTACTTTAAATACCACCACAAACAAAAATATCCTTAAAGATAAATCATTTAAAATGTAGCTACAAACTGTGTCTAAAACTGCCTCAATTCGAGTTATTTTCTTCAAAAACACCCAAATTTTTTACAACTATGCAACAACACATTTTTATAATCATAATCATTTTAGTTAACAGCAAAATATCGAAGCTTTTAAATAAAATATGAAGAGTATGTCAAAAACAAAATAATGATAATAGAGACTTACAAAATTTCAAAATGAAATTTCTCGAAATAATAGTATTTTAGTTGTGGCAGTATTTGATTGAGCCATCAATATGTAGATTTTATAAAAAAGAACTGGTGTTTTTTAGCAAGATATTCTATTATACTCGAGAGTATCATCTATGATTTCTCTCAACTTTTCTGCTGGGTTTTCACTTGAACTGATGGCAATCTAGCCTGTTGAAGAGAATGAATTGCTTGAATTCTGATATACCTGACATATCATGTACCTATAGATTCACTTTTTATAAAACTTCAGGTGTTATATTCTTCTTTACACTTCTGTAGTATTTATTTTTGCTTCTAAAATTCCTAGAATGTCGAAGGAAACCTAAAAAATAATATTTTTAAAATGTATTTTTAGTTCGATAAAGTATAATTACCTTTTATTTGGTATTTGGTGTAAAATGTTGCCGGACATTCGGTTAAATGTTTATCTTCTGGTTTACAACGATTGATCTGCAATTCTTTGTTTTTATTGTAGTTTTTTTTTTTATTTGGTGTCATCGGCATCGACTGCTAAAGATACTTAATGAATGAAATAATAAATTTACATCAGGCATTGTAATCTGAAACAACGACAATGGTTTAGAAAATAGTTATCTATTTTTAGAGGACCCTTACCAAATCTATTCGAATGTATAAATAATAATTATTTATAAAATAATTTCTGGATGTCGAAAAATAAACCATTAAAAAAGACAATTGACAAGAAAAACTGACAAGTGACAATTGACATAAAACTAAACGTTCTGAATTCAGATTTGTAATGTTTACGGTAGGTTAACTAGGTAAATAACAAATAGAAGTTTTGCGAGGTTTTGATTTCCCTCAACAACTTCTCATGAACGTTTCATTTACGTTGTACAGTAATGTTATTACGTTCCCTTAATGCAACATCGCCGAAAGGCTTGGCAACGTTATGTGCTAGCTGGGCCGTCATCCGATTTGATTGTCAAAAAAAACCTAATGGAAAACGTAGCAAATTCAGATCTGACTGCAAAAAGTGGCACATGGCGGTGGACAACGTGTACTATATCCTGTTGGTGGGAACTGTCGTGTGACCTGTCAAATTCAAAGTAAAGTTGTTTATCGATGGTTTTTTCGGTTTTTGCTGGTCACGAAATATATGCTTCTGGACGCCTATAATAATAAAAAACATTTTCTATCGTCCGGTTTTGCTACTTCCGGTGTAGGGATTTCGGCGACATCGGATATTTACGTTTTTCAATGAAATTCCAAATACATAAACTTTTTTTAATCTAATATGATATTGGAAGCATTTTATTGTGTTTGCGAAAGGGTTGATGTGCAAAAAATATGTAACTTTGAAATAGGTGTAAAATCAAAACCAAAAGTCGAAAAATAGTTTAAATGTTTGCATGACGCTCAACTAAGAGTATTGCCGTTGCAAGCATTTTTTATTCAGTAATAAAGTAGACTATTTTGACATTTGTTTCTAGAAAACCCGGAGTGAGTAGAAGGTTGAATGGTTGAACTATTCTGTAAAAGAGGTTTGATTACTCCCAAAATGTTTGTACGACTCTCAAACATGCTTGCAAGGGCAATATTCTTAGTTGAGAGTCATTCAAACATTTTAAGAGCAATTAAATCACTTTTCGACTTTTGGTTTTGAATGTAAACCTATTTCAAGGTTGCATTTTTTTTCCATTAATCCTACGCCGACACAAAAAAAAATGCTTGCAATATCATCTTGAGTTCAGAAGAACCGCGTACCACGTTTAAGATGTATCCTGCATTTCGTTGAAAAACGTAAATATCTGGTTACGTGGTAGGAATCCTTACACCGCAAGTAGCAAAACCGGACGACAAAAAAGGATTTTTATTGTTATTGGCCGTTTGGAAGCATATATTTCGTTGCCAGCAAAAACGAAAAACTCCATCGATAAGCAACTTTACTTGAATTTGGCAGGTCACATGATAGCTCCCACCACCGGGACAGTACATATTGTTCACACCCCCCTTTCCTCTGTAATCATCTGCAGATACAAAAAAACAAAAAACAAGATGTGCCACTTTTTACAGTCAGATGAGGGATTAAGTATATTGTAAGGGCTTAACTGTTAATTTTTGGTATGTAAACATTGTTTTATATTTTTTATACTTGTTCAACACCAGTTTTTATTCTCTTAATTGTAGACCTGATGAAGGCCTAAGGCCGAAACCGGTTGTCATTTAACTTAAAATGTATTTATGTAGGATGGATTTTAAGTCATTGTCTTATCAGGCGTCCCTCAAGGTTCTAACCTTGGACCATTGCTATTTTTGTTATTTATTAATGATCTCGATCACCGTTTAAACTCTTGTAAACACATTTATGAAGATGAACTTTAAGATATACCTCTCAGTATTAGATGTGTATGACTGTTTAGCGCTTCAGTAGGACCTAGATATATTTTCAGATTGGTGTATGCAAAATAGGTTAAATGCATCGAAGTGTAAAGTGATGGCATACACTAGAAAAAGATCAACTATAGATTTTTATTATAATATTAATGGTTTGGTATTGTCACGTTGTTCCTCAATCACTGATCTGGATGTCACTTTCGAATTAAGGCTGAGTTTTGTTGAGCACATTATTATAAAGGTTTCTGACGCAAAATTTTTTTATGGTTTTGTTATACGAAACTGTCGTGGGTTCAAGGACATTATATTATTCATACATCCGCACTAAGCTTGAGTACTGTTCAACTATCCTTATTATAATGTTCATACAGTGAGCACCATAAGTCTTACCCCCCTATCTAACTCGTTACTGGAGTCTTGTTAGGAAAATCGCTGAGACACGTCGATTTTTGATTTCTACAATGTACATTTTCGTATAAATAGTTTACCCTTAATTTCATCCCTTACTGGAGGGGAGCAACCCTTTCGAAAAATTTAAATGGCATGGGGTGGTGAGTGATAGCTCATTTGAAAGAGGGTTTTATTCTCTATTTAACCGTGTAAAAAAATTTGAAATTTGCTTCATTAATTCTCGACTAATTGTTTCAGAATAACGGAAATTAACGTAGCGCACTCATCCTTAGAATTAAAATTCGGCCCTGCATGATGTCGGTTTTGGTTCAGACGTGAAGTAAGACTTTTTGCCAATAGAAGGTCACTGTTAGTCCAGTTGCTTTCCTATTTTGTGAGGTTTTGTTATTTTTAAACATTAATAAATCAACACGTAATAAAGAAAATTTAAAATTTTTTGCACGGTTGAATAGAGAATAAAACCCCCTTTCAAATGAGCTATCACTCACCACCCCATGTCATTTAAATTTTTCGAAAGGGTTGCTACCCTCCAGTAAAGGATGAAATTAAGGGTACACTAATCATGCGAAAATGTACATTGTAGAAATCAAAAATCGACCTGTCTCGGCTATTTTACTAACAAGACCCCAGTAACGAGTTAGTTAGGGGGGTAAGACTTATGATGCTCACTGTATAACTAGTGTTGAATCTGTTCAAATGAAGTTTTTGAAATACTTATCATTCAAAGTAAATGGTGTCTACCCGCCAAGAGGAATTGATTATCGGCTACTTTTGGACAGTTTTAACATGCAAAATCTTGCGTTTCGGAGAATTCTAGCTTCATTGACTTGTTTACATAAAATCATGAATGGGTTAATTGACTGTCCTGCTATCTTGGCTAAAATTCATTTAAACGTTCCACAGTATAATAACAGACATCACTTAACTTTTTACTGTAATAGGTCTAGAACAAATATTCTATTAAGCTCATCTCTCAATGTCATGTGCAATAACTTTAACCTGTACCACAGTTTATAGCTAAAGAATCAGTTCGCTCACTCTGCGTCGGCACTTTTGATCTCAATGTTCCAGTTTATACATTGCGCAACTCGGAATTGTATCCCTGGCGCATACAGAATCAAATCATAATAGCCCAAGAGCCAGCCCACTGTAAATTTTTACCGCCATCTGATAATGAAATAAAATATACCCCAAAAGCTTGTAAAAACATTGTACTTTACCGAATGGCAACTGTGACAATCCCAATCCTGAGCAGTGTTTAAAAAAAAAATTTTGTATTAAAAATATCACATTAGGCATGACAGCGCTAATTTTGTCTGCCCTTAAAGTTTTCCAGATAATAACATATTCAAATATATCTTGATATATATCGTTAACGGGAAACATTTTCTTCCTCTTAACATCGCACAAAAACATCTACACACGATTAGTAGGTAAAAATCATTAAAAATATGAATCAATTTTTGCTGATTTAAGAATTTATTTGTATGCCTGTTGTTGTGATTCATTTTTACAGGTTGTCATAGAAACGACAAAATAACTACTATGATTATGGTTTAAAAGAATTGTCTAACAAGAGTTTATAATTATTATTGACTATCTCTGCCAAAGTTAGGTAAAACTATTAATAATTCAGGTTTAAAAGCTAGGTTCACAATGAATTAGAATTGTAATTTTCAGAGAAAACACAATTATCGCTGTCATGTCTTATGTAATTTTTTGAATATTAAATAATTTTTTTTTAACTACTTCGCTCTGGATTACAGAGGTACAATTTGGTAAAGTACAATGTTGTTACATGTCTTTGGAGCATATTTTATTTTGTTATCAGATGGCGGTCGTAATTTGCAGTGGGCTCTCTTACTATTACCAATTAAGCATTCCAACGACCTGTCAAACAATAGCTGTCAGTGAGAAGGTCTGGTATATCTAAGGGGGTAGAGACATAGTCTTGCATCTTGAACGTTTTTTTTTTATTCGAAATAATAGTCACAAAGCTTGCCAATTTATGAAAAAAATTATCTTATTTTTATTGTGTTTGACATAAAATATTTAAATGTAATCCATTATTCATGATTTTATGTATTGTAAACAGAATACATCTTATGTCGCAACCCTTGGATATATCAAATCTTCCCACTGGCAGTTCATTTGTTTGGAATGCCATACAATATATGACAACCGCCTATATTCAAACAGCAGTCTTCTGCGCATCCTGAATTTGTATCCCTAGAGTGGATCTTATTTTGTCCAATTGGTCCGAGTGAGCGAACTGATTCTTTTAAGCTATAAACTGTGCCTGTACTGTAATTCTTCGGATATCTTCAATGATAGTTTGATAAGTATTAAAGCAATTGCCTGTATCTATTATGACAATGCTCGAGTTTTTTATTTTATTCTATTTTTTTTTTATTTTTAATTATTTTTTATTCTCAATTTTTATATGATACTTTTTATTTTATAATTCTTTATTTATCATGTCACCTTTACTACTTATATTGTTAATAATTTATTAGGTTGCTCTGTAAAGGGATTTATATCTGTTGGGCAATAAAGGCTATTTTTATTATTATTTTTATATTATTATCTAACTTATCTAAAACTTATTTGACTTTTATTTAATTATAATTTTAACTTTTTTCTCCTTTCTTATATTTTTTAATTTACACTTATTTGTATAATTTAGGTGTTTTGCTTTGTAATGGGGTTGATCCCGTTTAAATAAATAAATAAAAATAAACTAAGCTCAAGTTGCTTGAAAATCACGTGATCAAAATTAACATTTTTGCTCTCATTTATCTGAGTTGTAATACTGAACTCACTATTAGTGTTTATATGATCGAAAGTCTCATCTGTATGAATATTTGGCTCAAGCAAAAAAAATTACCAAAAAAATTCATTTTTAAAATCATCATAATTGAAATTTAGAAATTTCGTAAAATTTACTGAGATTTGAAATGCATTATTGTTTTTATTTTCAGATACCGTGAAATTTATAGAAATTCTGTAATGCAGTATGCAAAGGAGGTAGAAGGATGTGAAAATGTTGTATTTAGTCAGTAAGTTAAAGTTTTCTTCTTTTTTGTAATATCTGATCATTACTATGTTTATTTCTTTACAATAAAGAAAAACCTGGTTTACACAAAAAATGTAAGTTATCATACACGTCCTCTATTGTATCTTTACGATATTCAACTGAGGATAATCTATGGACAACATAATAAATAAATTCCACCTGTCTGTCAGTTGGAAAAACAACTACAACAAAAAATAAAAAAGGTAAAGAAGCGCAAAAATGAGAAAATAGTATACAACACAAGGTGCAGAAGGCTATTCTCGCACTCATTCGTTCGTCCACTCGCTCCTTCGTCGCTCGTGTCCAAATTTCGAATTCGTGCGGGAATATGTGGCCTTCTGCAACTTGTATTTTAATATACTATTCTATTGTTAATTTTTACTTCATTCCAAGATTTACCTGTAAAGATAAGTGCTGTATTGTCGGCATATCAAACTATTTTTCATTTGAAGTTTTTTAGTTCAAAACTATTATTAATGTATATTAGAAATAAAACCGGATCTAATTCTGTCCCTTGCGGTACACCTGTCTTAACTAATGATTCGGCCATCATATTCACACTTGTTACATAAACTACTATTATACAATCGTTGCATACTGCGGCGTTGTCAAGTGAGCTGTCAGCTTTAAAAATCGCAAAAGAAAACTAAATTCATATTAATTTTAAGTGGTTAAAATAGGACATATTTTCACAATGTTTCTTTTTTTGCAGATAAGGTTTGTATATTTTTTAATTTGTGATATAAGACTGAGCTGAGATTTAAAATGATCTAAATGAATACAATTCGACATGCAATCTACAATCTTCAGAACATGTGGGCTTCTTGTGGCCGCATCAGCCTAGAAAGTAGCCAGCTTTCCAAAGCATAGAAGTTATTTTTTTTATAATATAATAGAATATAATTTATGAAAATATGTATGATTTTAAAATGTTTGTACTTTTGTACCATTGAACTCTCGTGATTGTAACAGTTGTGAGTATGTCACTTACCAAGCAAAAAATAGTATAATGCTACATTTCAAGTTTAGTATAGGAAAAATTAAATTAAAAATTCTACTACTTATTTGAAAATTATTTATTTGTTAATGGGTAGAGCAAAATCGCTACTTGAAAGGTACCTCTACAGATCTTCCACTTAATATACATGACATATAGAGATAGAAATATGATTGTGAATTATTATTCGTTCAATCTGTACCCTCTTCTCTACCTACAAAAGTGTCTCTTTCAAATAGCTAATTAGCTCTAATATCAACTTAGGTAATATTATAAAGTAAAACTATAGAGTATAAAACTGTAGTAAATCTAGATTAACATTCTACTTTTTCAAAATTTTCTGCCCTATAATAAACAAGACATGCATGGAAAAAATATTTGGGACGTCCGGCAAATTACACTTTCGAGTTTTTTTAAATATTAACTGTTATGTTAATTTACTTATCCGAAAGCAAAAAATTATCAAACTTTTTGCAAGTGACATGCTATCAACTAGTTCTCTCACATCTTGTATATGTGTATATATTTTTTAAAGTATTGTTATTGTTATTTTATATTTTTCTTGAACTTTGTAATAGTCACATTTAATTAAATATGTAAAAAATAATCTATAAAATAGTTTTTCTTAAACTTGTTGATATTTGTTCATCAACATCAACTCTAAAGAATAATATTCCCAGTGTTGAAGGAAGATTGCAGTACAGCCACTGTATAGAGGTAAATAGGAAGTAAAATCACTTGACTCCTTTTTGTTAAGATTTTGCTTCCAGATCCTCAAATTCGTGAATTAGGTGAGCCAAATAATTAAACTTTTGTAGTATAGGGTGTAGTAAGTAGAGAATAATAATACTCGTCTTTATTTTCAATAAATTAAAGTATTTACAAAAAAAAATAATATACAGGCGAAGTTTATTTTTGGTTGTGCATTATGCGTTTGTAGAGCGATATCGATTTTTTTAAAGGTAGGAACTTGAAAATTGGAATTGAAGCAACTATTCTTAAATAAATAATGACGTATTTCAACATTTTGGATTTTTACATTTTAAAAAAGAAATCAAGGGGAGGGGGAGGTGAAAGTTTGTAGGTATGGGAGTATCAGTTTTTTAAAGATAGGAATTATATAATTGGGATTGAAGCTACTCCTAAATAAATAATGACGTGTTAAAGGGTTTTGGATTTTCACATTTTAAGAGCGGAGAAAAGTGGTGAAACTAAAATAAAATAAAAATTAATGAAAATAAAAATAAGTAGAAATAAATACAAATGAATAGTACAATTAAAAAGTGAAACTTCTTACGAAAAACGATGTCCCGACAACCTAAGGGAGGACTGCTTTTCTCAAGGACTGTTTTATGTGACCTATTAGAGAGCCAGTTCTGCATGCAATCTGATGTTAATAGCAGATGAGTGCCTTACCAAAAACGTGGTTTAAAAGAACATTCTCAATTAGGTTACTATATATACACACAACCAAACTTATATGGAATCGTCTATTATTTTTCATAATTTTTGAGATGTATGAACATTTTTTGTTTATGAATAAAACTCGGTCCTTACCAAATAATTTTAATGACAAATAGCCCACATAGTAATAAAAATAATTAATTAGTTGACAAAATACACACAATGGTATTTTTTTGGTTTCTGAAACGAAATGAGATTTAAATTTTTAATAGCCGAAAAGCAAAAACAGAAAGAAAATTGGTAATTTTAACAATCCGTGTTATCACCTTCAAGCTTCTTTTTAGTCTGGTTCACAAGTGCCATTTCCCTCGAAACCTGTCCTCCAGCACCGAAAATTATGATTTTGGGCTCATTCGATTCGGAATGGCATCTAGAACATTCTATCAAAAAAATGCAAAGGTTATAAACAATAAAGTAAAATAAAAAATAAGGGTTTGGTTTTTTTGAAATATTTCAAAAACTATTTGAGATAATCGAAATTTGAAAGAAGATCCTTAAAGAGCAGGAAATTTCCTAAAAAAAAGTCATGCCTCCTGGAACTGTACCAACAACCCTTATAATTTTAATTAAAAGGCGAAAATAACGGTAAAAACGCGTGGTTCGGCTGCCGCGCGCATCGCCCCAATCTGACACATGAACTAAAAAAATTATTTTAACTGATTAAATATTAATATTAAGGAATAAAAAAAATTGGGTACTAAGTAGACATATGTATAAACAATAATCCGTAAACAAAAAATTTTTATCACTATTTTTTTTATTAATTATGCTTTTGTTAATTAGTTAATTTTCACCATTTTAATGTTAACATAAAAACGCTGATTATTTCAAAACAAGAAATCTAAATTTTTTTTGATTTTTTTGAGCTATTAAAAGGGTTTAGAAGAGATCCCCGTTGGAAAAATTCAAAAATTTTGATTTTTCACTTTTTTATTAACAATCAAAGGCTTTAAAAAATTATTTATGTAAATAAAGCCATTAAGAAATTTTTTTTCCAAAACATTTTTTTCAATAAAAAAATATATATGGTTGTTTTTGTAATATTTTTTAGTATTTAAAAAAAAATATTGCGTAAAATTGCATAATAATTGGAAAAAAAAATTTTCCTAATGGCTTTATTTAGATAAATAATTTTTTAATGCCTTTGATTGTTAATAAAAAAGTGAAAAATTAAAATTTTTGAATTTTTCCAACGGGGATCTTTTCTAAACCCTTTTAACAATAGCTCAAAAAAATCAAAAAAAATTCTAGATTTCTTGTTTTGAAATAATCAGCGTTTTTATGTTAACAATAAAATGGTGAAAATTAACTCATTAACAAAAACCTAATTAATAAAAAATTGACAAGGGGGTAGCCATGTGTGAGTTGAGGTAATTTTAAGGTGAAGGGGGAGAAAAAGTCCTTTATATCTCACAAGGAAATATATTGTGAGATATAAAGGACTTTTTCTCCCCCTTCACCTTAAAAAAATAATAAAAAAATAGTGATAAAAATTTTTTGTTTACGGATTATTGTTTATTCATGTCTACTTAGTACCCAAATTTTTTTATTCCTTAATATTAATATTTAATCAGTTAAAATAATTTTTTTAGTTCATGTGTCAGATTGGGGCGATGCGCGCGGCAGCCGAACCACGCGTTTTTACCGTTATTTTCGCCTTTTAATTAAAATTATAAGGGTTGTTGGTACAGTTCCGGGAGGTAGGACTTTTTTTTAGGAAATTTCCTGCTCTTTAAGGAGTTTTTTTTCAAATTTCGATTATCTCAAATAGTTTTTGAAATATTTCAAAAAAACCAAACCCTTGTTTTTTATTTTACTTTATTGTTTATAACTTTTGCATTTTTTTTCAGCCCCTCTTGGAATTTTGATAGAATGTTCTAGATGCCATTCCGAATCGAATGAGCCCAAAATCATAATTTTCGGTGCTGGAGGACAGGTTTCGTGGGAAATGGCACTTGTGAACCAGACTATTTCGCCTTGGCATGCTTCTTATTAAATTGTCAACATTGCCTTGGGGTATGTTTCCCCATTCTGCTAATGCTGCATCAATAAGCTGTACGATATTTCCTGCATTGTTTCTTTTGAGCTGGTCCCACAAGTGTTCGATAGGATTTAGGTTTGGTGAACATGCAGGCTAGTCTAAAACTGTGACACCTTCTGTTTCAAGATATTCTGTAGCCACTCTGCTGGTATGAGGAGGTGCATTATCGTGCATAAAGATAAAATTATCCCGAATTGCAGCTCTCCAAAGCCTTACGATTGGTTCTAGCACTAAGTCAACATATCTCGGACCAGTTAAAGTTTTCTGAAGTGGTAACAATGGAGTTTTTGCTTCCAGCATAATACCTGCCCAAAACATTACAGTTCCTCTTTGATATCTTGGGACATATCTGGCAGCATGAAGACTCGCTCATCTTCCTGGAGCTCTGAGAACCCGAATTCGATGGTCATCTGATCTTAGGCCAATTCTGGTCTCATCCAAAAATAGAACATTTTGCCAATTCTCAATTGTCCAGTTTTGGTGTTGGAGGCACCAATTTAGCAGGTCAATTTTATTTTGCCTAGATAACGGTGGGACATGCCAAGGATATAAATTAAAAAAAAAACGGTGGGACCTGTAACTCTCTCCTACTGTACAAACCTCGTGCGCGAAGACTTTTTCTTAGAGTTTCAATTTTGTCTGTTTGTCCAATATAAGGCATTTTGATGTTTTTTTGGACCGAAATAAAATTACCGGAGGATCGTGATTTTACTTCTGAACACAAAATTCACAAGATAATAAATCTCAGCAGTGGTTTCTTCTTTATTATCATGTTTGTTAAGAACAAAAGGCCTTATCTTAAAGTTTTTCCTTACAAAGCGTTTATTGAGTAATACACAGCGATTCCATATAAGTTTGGTTGTGTGTATTTACTCAATCCAGTGAATTCCGTAAATTCCTGCATGGCCACTATTTCATTATCTTGTCCACATTTAGTAGTTTTATTGCCATGAAATTTACTAAATAAAATATTTTTTCTTCTTTTGACATATAAAGTGACATTTTTTGTAATCGCAGCAAGCGTCAAAATTTAAAATGATTAATTTATGCAATCAGTTACGAAATGCCGTTTTGTGTAACTCGTTCATGTTGCGTGACCTCGCTCTGCTCGTCCTGCAAATATTCACTAGTTACATATATTTCGTAACTGCTTCCATAAATAGCTGTTTGACGAGTTTGTTGCAACTAATTTTTCTCCATTTACAAACTAGTCCTAAGTTCGATAGTTATATTTAAGGTTCTTTCCTGTTTCCATACAGGATTTAAACTTTGCCTTCTAGTATGTTTTCAACTTCTTCGTTTTTTTAACATTTACACTTTTATTTTTTTGTACATATTTCTTCTTTTAATAGACCATGTAGAATTTTTCAATCACTATATTTCCCAAAATAGTTATTTTTCCATTTAATTTTCTGTGTAACAAAATATCAATGTAAAAAAATAAACCAAATTCTGTTTTTCCTTTTTTATAAGTTGGTATACAGTGTAGGGCACTTAAAAGTTCCACCTTCCCCTTATCTTCATCATTACATGGTTTATTTTTATTTGAAAGTCTTTGTGATGTTCCAATTTACTTGTTTTTTTCGAAAATACCAGAAAACAATTTTTTCCAATAATAATTAGGTATAATTTTAATAATTTAACATTTGTTATTGTTTCAAAACTAATGTTTATTTAAAGTGATAGAAATAGCCCAAGTCTTCTGACAAAAGAGTATCGCATTTTTACTTTTCTATCTGTATACAGATATAAGGAAAGTATAGGAATCATGATTTTTTTCGACGGATTTTTACGTTTTGACTATTTTCGCGATGATGTCTCTGTGTGTGTGTGTCTGTAGGTCGCATAACTCATGAACCGATACACAGAAAAACACCAAATTTTAAACTTAAGCTTTATTCCAGCGTCTAATGAACTGATTAGATTTTGGGCAGAGTCGGAACATCTGGGGGGGTACTTTATGGGTGGTTATTTTTATTTTTTATGAAATATATGTTATTTACGTTTGGAGAAGAAAATTCTTCAAATAAAAGTTACTTCTAATATAATTATCTATAATTTTTGTTCTATACAAAATTTTCCTAAAATGGTCCGTATTCGAGAAATTTGACAAAATGTAAAAAAAATATTTTTTTATAAAAATTGTTCAAATGTTTGAAGCTCAATCACGGCCGATTCCCTGCACATTTATGTAAAATTGGAATATTGGATTCTCCCTTTTGTCCATATTGCAATATAAACGCTGTAGCAGATATCAATCATTTATTTTTAGATTGTAATAAAAATGCTCAACATACCACCGTATTGTATCAAGATTTAAATAAACTTTCATTCCCACTTCCACTCAATATTTCTTCACTTTTAGTTCAATCAGATAAGATAATTTTTGACGCTATTATTAAATTTACTCAAAATACTAAAATAGATATTTAACATAATATATACAAAAATTATTAAGTTAAAACTTTCTGTGGTAAATAGACTTGCATGTCTGATGCCATCCCATTACAAAAAAAAAAAAAAAAAAAAAAAAAAAAAAAAGTTGTTTGTAATATAATTCTCTATAATTTTTATTTTATACATAATTTCTCTAAAATGGACCGTATTCGAGATATTTGAGAAAATGTGTAAATTTCGAATTTTGAAGAAAACTCAAAAACGGATAAAGAAAATAACATTAAATTTTAAATTTAAGGTTTATTTCGGCCTGACGTGAAATGATTAGATTTTGTACAAAGTCGGAACATCTAGGGGGGTACTTTATGGGAGGCCGTTTTTATATTTTATGGAATATATCTGTTATTTATGTTTGGAGAAGAAAATTGTTCAAATAAAAGTTACTTCTAATATTATTATCTATAATTTTTGTTTTATGTTAAAATTTCCTGAAATCCGAGAAATTTGACAAAATGTGCAAAATTCTGATTTTTATGAAAATTGTTGAACTAAAAGTTGTTTGCGATATCGATCTCTATAATTTTTGTTTATACATGATTTTTCTAAAATGGACCGTAATGGAAAAGTGCTAAATTTAAATTTTTCAGTATTTTTGTTTTCAATGAATATCTATAGAAAAATGTTTCGAGGTAGATGTATGTGGACAATGTATATATTTAGTTTATCCTCTAAACATTTATAGAGATGCTACAATAGGTTGTACAAAATAACCGGAAGAAGCCTATAAAAATTAGATAGGAAAGTCATGTGTTGGACACATCAGATTTTTAGTTACAGTTTGCACGTCTTATTTCAGTTGCGTTTGAAAAAACATTTTACCGGGTAACACAGGAATTAAGCGAAAACATAGAATAATTGAATCAATTAAAAGAAACGGTCGCGGATCGCACATGAAATCCTGTGAAGTAGCACAATATACCTGATTTCTTTTAAGAGCAAATCGAACTCCTTGAAAATTTATAATTTCTTCAGAGCTTTTATTTATAATCCGATTTTTTGTAAAATTTTTGGGATATACCAATAATAACAAAACTTAGGGTACTAAATATGTAAAATGGGAATATTTCCCACCCTTTTTTTTTTCTTAGACGTCTCTATAAGAGTGCTGCCTTATCGTCGCACAAATTTAAAGCTCTCAATATTCTCGATACACATAATATCGTTAAGTATTCCCATTTACGCTCATATAAATACAATTTATATTAGAAAATCCTTGAAACATTTTTGATTTTCTTGAGATGTCCGGTTTGCTCTTAATTCCTCACAAGAAGTCTAATACATCAAATTAATAAATGTTAAAATAATTTCCATATATATTGGTTTTCGTATGGTAATAATTCAGAGAAAATATAATTTTTTCCGCGTGGAAAGTACCTACCAATTTTCTCTAATTTACTTTGTATATATAAAATAAAAATATATAAAAATTCGTCGAAATATCGACGCAACGGATGGTTAATTAAAAGTGGGATCAAATAAGAAAAACTTCAAATGCTCAACAGTTTATTACATAAGCTAGCTTTTCCCAGCTACAAAACATTTCTAAAAATCAAAACCAGACTATGATTTTCTCATATTTCAATGAACAAGGTAAATGTATTATTGGAATGGGAATATTATGTATGGCATAAATAAAAGATACAAAATGTTCATATTTTCAAATAAAACTTTAATATAACATTCCACTCAACATGTAGACTACTACCAGAATGAGGTCAATTAGTTGGAATTCTTTTACTATAAATACTAGAATTTAAAAAATGTCACTAATTTTTCTCTAAACAGCCATATCTGAAACAACAAATATTTTATTAAATACTAGATAAAATTAGAAATATAATCATGTAGGTAATGACAAAAAAATATGACGGAAGTTTATATTCAAAAAATTGCATATTATCTATATTTTGGTGAATATAAGTTTTGTATTATTTAATTTACTTATTGTGACTAATAAATTATAAGAAAATGACTTAATTTGGTCGAAAATTTTACACCTTTATTTGATAGCCGATCAAATGCTGTAATTTTAAAACATTTCCATAAAAAACAGAAAAAATTCCTGGTGGGTACCCTGAAGGAAATTACATGGGAATTTTTTTGAGAATCTCTTTTATGCACATATTACGAAACGATGTTGTGATTAAAAAATTTATCTATTTGAATCGTTAATATTTTATTTAATAGCAATTACAACTAGATAGAAATACACTATATTTATTTTAAGTAAAATAATAGGTTTCTCGCGTCGACTAAACGACTTCAAATGGTCTTTAGACGAAGAAAATATTCTAATTCCAAATTAACTCCACAGACCTTTAGCTGAATTTTTGACAAATACTATGTTCTATTTTGAACTACAACAAAAAAACAAGGTGTCCAACACCTTAGGTAGAATACTTGATCTTATTTTTGTAGATGACTCTCATTCTTCTCAGGTTAAAGAGAGTGACTTCACATTGTCTAAAGTAGATCTACATCATCCACCTCTTGAACTAGCTGTCAACTACCAATTTGTACCAACTCTGGTACAAATCACCTAATGGTTCATCTGTTTTCCAATTTTACAAGGGAGATTACATTGGACTTAATCATTATTTTACTACGTTCGCTTGGAGTTTTCTTGATGAACTCCAAAGTTTTACAATATTTTATTTATGGGTATTGAGTTATATGTTACCAAAAAGATATTAAAAGATAGAAATTTCCCTAAATGGTACCTACGAAAATTAATTAAACAAAAATAATGTCTATAAAAAGAAAATCCGGAATGAAATTAAATAAGACATTGACATGTGCTACATGAGGTACCTTACAATTCCGTCCAACATAAAGTGCTTCTGGTCATATATTAACTCTATAAAAAGGACTTTGGCCTTCCCAAGTGTATGACTTTTAATGGAAAGTGTCTTAGTGAACCAAAAGAAATAGCAGAAGCCTTTGCAGACTATTTTGAATCGTTTTATATTAATCTAATATTAACATTGAAAATACTGTAACTCTATCATTTATCGACAATTTAGTCTCATACCAATTTTCAGTTAATGATGTTTCAGAAAGCATTATGGAATACTGCAGCATCTATGGAATTCTAGTTATGCAGTCCATATCAGCAGATTAGAAAGGGTACAGAATAAGTTTACCAAATATACACTATACAAATTAAGATTCCAGCTGGTCAATGTTCCCTCTAAAACCCAATTACTATTGTGTGGGATGAAGAGCTTAGAACACCGCCTAAAAACCGCTATGCTGCTATTTTTACCATAAAATTTTTCACTCTGTAACTGACACTCAAGTTCAATTAGAAAATGTGATGCTTCATGTGCAATCAACAGTTATTTCACAAACACATAGGACCAATTATTGCACGAATGCTGCTATGGGAAAGCTCGTTTGCAATTACAATAGTAATTTCAGTGATATGGATATTTTTCAACTAAGTCTAACAGGACTGAAACGGGCTTTATCAATATTGTAGAAGTTTTTTTTTTATTTATATGTATATTGTTAGTTGTACTTTTATATCTTTGTAATTTTTGTATATAATTTCTGTAAGCCATTTGGAATTTATTTTCTGTAGAACTTTATCAAATAAATAAAGTAAATAACAAATACGCATAACTGGCATGCCAATCTTTGCAAATTTGATTTTAGTTGTTTTAATGCATGTCTGTCTTTTTGAAATTTTGATATTTCGGTGTAAAATTTTCTTACCGAATACCACAAGTGCCTAAACTATTGTCTGGAAATTTTAACTCACGCTCGAATATTTTAAGAAAATTATCCCTCGTCTTCGACTTGGGATAATATTTAAAATATTTGTGATTTCGAATAAATTTCCGGAAATAATTTAGGTACTAGTGGTATTATAAGTGAACATTTACCTACTATAAATAAAACAATACTCACTGTTTCTAATTTTGCATTGTTGAATAGCTTCATTAAATCCTTGGCATAAAGTTATATCAGATTGTGTAGATGTACATTGCAAAAATTGTTGAATTTCCCAAGCACAAGGTCCAGATTCTGGTCCAGCTTGAGCAGGGTATTGTTGTTGGGATGCTACCTGCTGGGGAGCCTGTTGTGCAGGTGCATCTGATCCACCACCACTGAACATACCTTAAATTTAGAGAAAAGATCAGTAAATTAGAGAAGAGATATCAAAATTAATTAATTTGCAGCAAATTTGTAAATGTAGAGAATGAGTATCCCTTTTTAAAAATGGACTTCTTCAATGCATTTACAGTAGAACCCCAATTATCCCTGCATGCTTTATCCATGCAAGCTTTATCCATGCAGCAGATTTTTGAGTAAGACATTTTAAATTGATCACCCATGCACAGATTATCAGTTGGTACATGAACGTTTACATTTAATTTTAATATTAAAAAAAAAAAAAATACAGCACTCGGGGACTGCCGCGGTAAAGCTATTGCATAGCATTTTTTTTATCAACTTATGCAATTATAATTATTTATTTATTTTATTTATGCAGTATTTTTTTTTTCTTTGATATTAATTCAAGTTACACTTTTTGAGCTTGGTGACCGATAAGAAAACAATTTTTTTTTCTTTTATTGAATAAATGAGAAGTAAATATTGTTTAAAATATTTTTATTATCTTGCAATACACGTAGGTTATTCAGGAATTGTTATCATTGAAACTATAGGTTTATGGTAACTGAAATAAGAAACATAAGTTTGAGACTTGGTATGTTCTAAATATCTGGAAAATACCGCAGCTAGTCTACACGAATACGTCTAGTTGCACGCACACAAACACCGTGCCGAAGTCTGCCGAACTGAAACGACGTTAGACGATGCACGGCTTTCAACGCCGCACCGCTGTGCCGGTCGGAGTGGGGGGTGTTAGGTTTTTTTTCGTTATGGTTTCGTTTGTTTTCTTGAATCGGTCGCCGCGCTCAAAGCCCGCGATAAAAGCTATGCAATAGCTTAAAATGTAAAAAAAAAATATTAATTTAAAATAAAGCTTATATATCTTCTACGATTTTCTCTTTTTTGCTACCTTCTCTGGTCTCTCACACTTTGGCTTCTTTCTCCTATACCAATTTATAACTGTTTCTACCCTTACTCTGCTATCTGGTCTTTTTTTTTTAATAATGTAAAATAAATTGTACTTTTTTTATGTTTTTATTATATCCTACAGATTTAAATTCCATAATCCATTATATAGACTTAATAGTACTTTTAACAGTTGTATTCCTCGGATACTTAGACTGGCAAATTCTCTGGATAATATTATATTATTTTATTCTTCTGTAAATAGATTTAAGAACAACATTCAAAATACACCAATGTAATTTTTATCAACTTATTGTTACCTAAATGGACTTGCCCGTAAATATATAAATAAATAAATAATTCAATATAAATTTCAATACAAAAACCTTTCTTTTCTTTACAAATCTAGCTCTTCAATTTTTTTTAATTCCTGTCTGACATTTGTTTTTCAAAATATTTTGATTTTCTTAAACAATTTTTAACTCCCAGATCATGACCCATCAAATTTTGATTAATCAATTTTGACAACAAACAATAGGACATTAAATTAATTTTGAACCAGATATACTTATCAATACAATAATAAGTATTCTACAATGTATGTTCTTTCATTGTGTATGAATATAAAAACTTTTATTTTTTGTTGCATGTATTACATTTCTTTTGTTGATCCTTTATCATAAGTATTTTTCTAAATAAACTATAAAAAAATTAAAAATGAGGTTTTTGGATTATTCAGCAAAGGCTGGCTGGCTTGGATAATCAAGGTTCTACTGTAATTACATAAATGACAAATTAAGAAAACACTTTGACAATATTTTCCACATCACTCTTCAACTTAAAATATATTTAGATGATTTATAACATTTTTATAGAAGACAATTGACTTTTTGCAAAATGTGATTAATAGTCGTTTACGGGTCCTGTATGCTTTAGGTACGTCGGAATTTTCAAAAGAAATTAAATACTGAACATAGTAAATTTCTAAAAAATTGTGGATAATTGAGTACTTTCTGAGAAAAATTTATCAAAAGTTGCAAGATTTTGATGTTTCTAACCCAAAATTTTATCATTTTCTTACAGATTTTGCAAAAGTTTCAGATAGTAACTAGATACAACATGTAAATATTAACAAGATTCAAATATTCTTTAATTGTACTATTAAAAAACAATTAAGGCAAGGAAAATCTTTATAAACAATAATACTCTCCATAAATATTCCACAATTATTAAATAATTTCAGTTAGTACTTAACACAATAAAAAAAAAATTAATTAATTATAAAAAAAATAGGACAAGGAAAATCTTTATAATTGACTGTAAAATTAAATTCCATGTTAATTATGTAAAAAGGTTAATAGCGGTTGTTATGCTCTACTTCAATTAGAACAGGTCGTACAATTAACCAATTTCTACAGGTGTATCATTAGGGTTACAAATCGTCCGGGTTTTGCCGGACATGTCCAGGTTTTTACTACATCTGAGTGTGTCCAGGTGGATTTTGTATAAGCGTCCGGATTTAAAAATAGTTGTCTGTATTTAGTGTAAAACCCCCTTAACTATTATATGCTGTAGTGTAAAACTAAAGAGATAATACGACTGCAGAATTTTTTTCAGAGTTTGTTAAAAGCAGTGGAATTTTTTTTTGCAATCCCATCCCACAATGTAAATTTGTAAAGAATATTTCCACTTGTTGCAGCTCAGTGGACAAATGAAAGAACTACACTGCTATTGGCCTCTGTAAAAGGAATACTGACTACTTATAATTAAAGATATGAGCTGTTTACATTTTACGATTTTATGCTTTTACCAGAAAATTTAAAGCAAATAAAAAAAAAAAAAAAATACAGTGTAGTGAAAAGTACTTGTAAAGAGTAGGTATTCTATTCCTTTCTTTGTTTTGACTTGTTTTACTTAACATTGTAACTTTCTGTTGTTTATGAAATTTTTTTAATTTTTTTTGGTACTTAATATTATTAAAAGCATGCCAATAATCGCATGTCAAATAATGTGAAAAGTATCACATTTCTTACTTCTTCAGAAGAAAAATGTATTATGCAATTGTATATTCACATATATCACACTATATTACACTCTGGGAAAATTCTATATACAAAAAAACAATGAAACTAACATTTTTCAGAAACAGTGATTCTCACAACTACCCCACTCGTAATGGTATGTTACATACACTTAGGCATACATTTGTTCTCTATGCATAGTCCTGAGTATTCAGCTCAATTAATTAATAAACTGCCAGATGATATCAAAAACATAAAATCCATTATGAAATTTAAACAAACATTACAATTTAGTAACAAAATGTTTTTATATATATTTAAATGTAGATTTTAAATTTTTTGATTTTTATAGTTGAATACTGAAATAATAGACAGTAATTTAATGTGTGAAAAATGCTGTCACATGTTATTGTGCCAAAGTTTGGAAAAATTTTGGGAGTTACAAGACAAGGATTTTTTTAGTGGTGAGCATATTATTATATTGCAATTGCATATTTTATGACACTTCTATAAGCATCCTTCACACATTCTTGGCATTAAAATACTGTCTATTATTTCCGTATTCAACTATAGAGTTCAGTGAAAACAGTAATAAGTGTTTCGTGAATAATTAACAAATAGTCGATGTCGATATAAGGCAAATGGCCTATAAAACTGCAACTTTAAAGTACGTTGGTTTACTTCATTCCTACACCAGTGGGACGAACGAAAGAACCTATTATGTAATGGGTACTTTGTAGTGTACTATTTTCCAAATTCTGACGTACCTAAAGCTTACCGGAGCCGCCGTTTACAATTATAAAAATGTAAATAAGATATTTTTACTCAAATAAATTTATTGGCAATTTTATATCATATCAAAAAGATTATAAAATAGTGCTCATACCTGTCATAGCATGTCCTAAGGTATGTCCAACAGCAGAACCTATAGCTACTCCACCAGCAGTTGCCGCCATCTGTCCCATTAATCCGGGGCCTTGTGATGGGGCTGGCGCTACTGGAGCAGCATGCATTGGTGCTGGAGCTGGGGCAGGTGCCCTAGCAGGGAGATTACTCGATCTGTAATAATAAATATATTGAATTTAGGAATAATTGCGAAATATTACGAAATTATTCAATATCAAGAAGTACGAATTTATTAAAAAACGTGACTGAATATTCCCTTACCTTGAGGATCTTGTTGGAGATGGAGATGCTCTTCCTCTTCGTGGCATTTTTATTTAATATTTTTATAAATTAATAAATTAGTCTATCACGTTATATAAAATTCTCACAATTCGCTTTGCAGATTACAGAAATGAACTTTGATTGTAACTACGTAATTTTTAGAATTTTCTCTGAATCTGAATATATCTGTCAGTGTGTGACGTATCATTCATGTGTCATGTGACGTTTCTAGACTTTTCCGGCTATGGCTAAGTTACCGGCATCGAAAAGGATTATAAAATTAATAATCAAATTAAACATTTTCTTCAAATCTTTTTGTTATCATTTCCTTTTTATTACCTATGCGTTAAAAATAAAATATACAGGTAATCTTAGGTTATATTTTTAAAAATACAATGAGTTGACTGAGCTGACAAATACATGCGTCGGAATAATAATCACTTCGTTTCTGGATTTTTCCTTTTCGCCAAAATATTTAAAAAAATATAAATAGAAACACGAGTTAAAAGAGTCATAATTCAAAGTCATGGCATGGTGTCATAGTGCAAATTCCCGAATATAATAATAGTTCAAAATATTATTTTCAGAGCAAAAAAAAGATATAGGTATTTTCCAAACGTAAATAATCGAATGAATTTATTTTTTAAGTTATTAATCGATTATATATCGAAATTTGAAAGAGAAGTTTTTATAGGTTTACAAATCCATGGTTTACACAGAGATTTCAAATCCACAATCTTATATTGCGTAATAAGCACTGAAGTTACTGGAACGCATGATACAAAAAATTACAAAGGCATGATACAGTGCATGACGTATTGTGGTGTGGAATACCTATGATTATCTGATATTGGGCTAATTGGCTGAAAAAAAGGTATGATATTACGCAGATTGATACTGTATTTCACGGTGACGTATTTGTGGTGGAAGGCGTGGTTTTTACGAATTTGAGGTATCAGATGATTGAAAACAGCGTACGAAAATACATTTTTCCTACGACCACTTAGGAAAGTGACACATATCACACTATATAGACCTATGGAAAGTGCCCTATATCACACGCGTATGCATAAGAATTTACTTTCCACCCAAGTGAGAATATGCTACTTTCCGCAGTAGCTGTCAGAAAATGTCAAACACATAATTTCTATTTTGATCTATGTAATGTCCATATTAATACTAAAATCGATATGATTGTTAAATTATTGTAAATTAGATCCTAGATATTTATCTTTAACAATTATTTTTAAAATAATTTTAAAATAACTCAGATATATTTGCTTTTTATTCTGGTTAAACACATAAGCGATTAGATCAATCAATTACCGTAAGGCCTGTTAGCTCAGTTGGTTAGAGCATCAACTTTGCAATTTGAGACCGGCCAACGACCGCGATCGAATCCTGGCTGTGCCAGATTTTTTTTTTATTTATTTTTTTATTTTTTTTTATTTGTTTAGAAATTATGAAAATTTAATAAATACGATTATTGTTGATTATTTTTTTAAATACATTTTAATTATTATAATAATCTGGTTTTACATTTTTTGATGAAATTATTTTGTGGTCGTAGGAAAAATATTGTACATCACTTGTGTGAAAAGTGATTTTCCACACTCGTAATGTAATATACTATTTTCTACACCCACATGAATATTAACTTATTTACGCACAGATTACAAAACAAAAAGTATGATATTGCCTTCAACTGAACGAATCTATTTTATATCCATTCTAGGTAGTGAGAAAACTTAAAAAAAATGAAATCCACCAATTACAGTTCATATTTTGATCAACTGACTGTTATTATTTTTAAAATTTAAATTAAGTGATAATTATGTCAAACTAAGTATATTTTTTAGTTATTGAGATTAAACATAGATTAAAATGGGTTATTCTTGTGTAGAATCGATAAATAATATAATATATTTTTATTTCGTCTCTAAATATAAATAATTTGTTAATTTAAGGTAGTTCTTAAGAATTCAATAAAATTTAAATATAAGGTTAATGAAAGTGTCGTTTACGTAACTAAAAAAATTAGATTTTTTGACCGTCTGTGAAACGAGATATTAACAATCAAAATGTGCATAATTAACACTCTTGAAGCCTATCATGTACACAAGCAATGCATTTATTTCAAGATATCTGTTATAATTTTTAAAAACTAATGTTAAATAAATCAAGAAGTTATAACATTTTATAAATAATCGCTGACTTTTTTGACCGTCTGTAAAAAGATATAGATTTTTAAAATAAAATTATTTTTAAAGCAGTTGACCAATAGTTTCGTAAAATTATTACAACTTGGCAACATTGTAGCCACTTCACGTAACAAAGTAACACTCGATCAGCTAAGAGGTTGTTATAAACTCGCGACGTGTTCTTGAAACATTAATTTATCCACTGTGTTTGAGAACTGGAAGCAGCGGTTCTGTTTAAACCAAAACAAACCCTTAAAATTACTATGGGGAAGTCACAAATTTCTATGCCATATCGTTTAAATATTTACGAGATTGCCGGAAAATAGCAGGCACGGTTCTTGAGATATTTCGATAAAAGGAAATTCGATTATTTTGGTTTTTTGGTTATCGTTCATTTATTTTCAGAACTACTAAAAAATATTTTAAAGGTTTTTTATTTGATAGTAAATTTTCTTTGATTTGACGTTTTCATATTTTGCATCCAACGTTTTGTATTCTCCAGACCACCATCAACTTTTTTTTTTTAAATATGGGACTGGCTATTTTATAACATTATTTGAAATAACTTTTTATCCTGCATCCAACGGTGTATTACACAATGGCATTCACTGACAGTTTTTGGGTAATATGGACCGTAATCCAAATTTTATTGGTACGGATCATCTGTATTGAATTTATAATCAGTGTTAATTTTTTCAGTGTATAATACTTCGAAGATAAAGTGATTATAATTAGGAAAAAATAAATGAGAATTAATAATTATTCAATTATTCGACTATTAAAAAGTATGTTTTGATAAGGTAAATGATTAAAAGATATTCTCGATTCTATTTTTGACAATACATACCTACCAAATTTGAAGGCAAAATATTATTTTATTACTGGCACAGCAATTGATATGATTTTAAACTAATATCATCTTACTTGTTATAAAATATAGTAGGCCGTGAAAACAATCCATATTACAAGAACTGTTACATTATTATTATTATGTTGTTCTTTATTGCTTTACGAAAATTTCTCATTGTTCAAAAGTTTTTTGTGTGTTTTTTGGTACCTAGTCTAACTTCAATATGGTAAGATACACTGCAGAAAAAAGACGAGATATGTACGAACTATACATCAAACTGAACAGAAATTCGTTCAGAGCAAAACAAAGGTACGAGGATTTATATCCCGACAGAATGCAACCAAATATAAAAATTTTTCGGCGTTTGTCTACAACTCTTCTCGAACATAATACATTCGATAAAGCTAGAGTTCCGTATGTTCAAAGAAAGGAGCCAGTCAACGATATTAATGTCTTAGCTCAAATTCGAATAAATCCAGGAGTTGGGTCGAGGACTATTGCAGGTGAATGTAACTTATCAAAAAGTGCTGTTAATAAGATTATCAAGAGACACGGATACCATGATTACAAATACCAAGCTGTACAAAAACTATATCGTAATGATCCTGAAAGAAGATTGCGATTTCGTAATTGGTTTAAACAAAAGGTAAGAATTAATAACAACTTTGCACACAATATCATTTGAGGAGACGAAACAACATTTACAAATTCTGGTATGTTCAATCGAAGAAATAAACATTTTTATGCCACGGAAAACCCTCACCTAATCCAAGAAGTGAGACATCAATATCGTTTCTCTTTGAATATGTGGTGCGGTTTGTTAAATAATAAATTACTGGAACCATACTTTATTGACAGAAACCTTACTGCAGAAAAATATTTAGATATACTGCAGGATATGTTAGATGATCTTCCTTTAGAGTATCGTCTTAACGAAATCTGGTTCCAACAAGATGTATGTGGTCCACACAGTTCGAGAATGGTCACGGATTATTTGAATCAGATTTCTCCCAATTCATGGATTGGAACAAGAGGTCCAGTGGCGTGGCCTGCCAGATCGCCAGATCTGAATCCATTAGATTTTTATTTGTGGGGACGTCTCAAAAATAAAGTGTATAATACACCAAATGCAGCAATTGAGAATATTGAGATTCTCCGCGAAAAGATTGAAGATGCATTGGAAGATATCCAAGAAGAAGAAATAAGCAATAGGATAAGAAATATGAATATCAGATTTGCTAAATGTATTGAAGAAGATGGCAGGCCTTTTGAACAATTACTCAATTAATTTTATTGATAATTTTCAAATAATTTGATTATGACTAACAAAAACTGAATTTCTTTTTGTTATTATCATTAATTGCGTTTTAAAATTTCTACATTACTATTATTGTTGTTGATGAATTGTTTAATTTTCGAAAAATTACATAAATTTTGTAAGAATTGATTTTATTTTTTTATCGAGGAGCATGACATGTTGATTCAACTAAAGATGGCTGAAACCAAGCGTAAATTAAATAAAATTTGGATTACGGTCCATATTACCCAAAAACCGTCATTGAATGCCATTGTGTAATACACCGCTGGATGCAGGACAAAAAGTTATTTCAAATAATGTTATAAAATATCCAGGTCCATATTTAAAAAAAATAAGTTGAGGGTGGTCTGGAGAATACGAAACGTTGGATGCAAAATATGAAAACGTCAAATCAAAGAAAATTTACTATCAAATAAAAAACCTTTAAAATATTTTTTAGTAGTTCTGAAAATAAATGAACGATAACCAAAAAACCGAAAAGATCGAATTTCCTTTTATTGAAATATCTCAAGAGCCGGGCCTGCTATTTTCGATTAATTTTCACCGCTAGATTATGCTTCGAGATAGGCAACTTTTTTTCCATTTAACCGACTTTCTAACTAGTATGGTTTGGAAATTACTAATACAATCCCATTAAAAAAGTGGCCACCTTGTATACATGTGTTTTGTACAGTCTCTTACAAAAATAAAATTGATTAGCATTGAGAATCTCGAACTTTTGGTATTCACCATTACGCGATATTTTTATGTACGACTGTCGCGAGTGAACTACTACCTTAAATACAACTATATGAAGTCAATTTAATTACGAGCATTAAAGCAAAATAATAAGAGCGTAGATGGTCCTGGTGGTTAGCATTCTTGCCTTTCATACGTAAGACTCGAGTTAGAATCTCGGTTGGGTAAAAATGAAATGAATTTTTAATTTTTTCTTGTTTATTTTATTTTATAAATTGGTTAAAGTCATAAATTATTTTTAAATTAATTGTTTTATCTTAATAACCTAAAATAATTTTTAATATTTGTAGATTTGCGTTAGTGGGTCGTAGCAAAAATATACTGTACAACTCAAGTGGATTGTCCATATCGCACTCAGACGATTGAGCACTCCGCCTAAGGCGTCGTCCTCAAATTTCGTCTTCATGAGATATGGCCATCATATCCACTCCTGTTGCAGAAACTACTATTAATCTGCACATGGCCAATCAGATAATCATATTCCACACCACAATACGTCATGCGCGAACTCGACGAAATTTCGTCGGCTAAGTATGATTTTGGCCATGAGCAGATTCAAATTTATTTTCGTGACGTATAGTCAATCTGCGTAAATTCATACCTTCTTTTAATAGTATCATTACTGGAACGCTAGTAACAACACAAAATTGATTGGTCAGAATTTAAAATAAGTATAAAAGTTGTACAAGTTAGCTTTTGGATGCTATGTAATAATATCTAGTTTCTAAGAAGAGTATAAACTTTGAAATAGTTAAAGGTGTTTATTTTTCACTAGTAGAATGAGTAGAATCACAATAAAGATATGGAATATGTTTTTGGGGATTCAGCAATAACTAGGAACTACTTATAGTGGCTCTTTTGATTTCTTTGCAACGTGAACTTGGATATTTCATGCAAGCCTTTATTTCTAGATCATAAAAATTTAACCAATTATTTATTAAAACAAATTTACGACATCTATTCTCGAAACAACAAATATTTTTTTAATACAAGGCTTATGAATTTCATCTAAGAGGGAAGGGAGCGGGTAGCTCCCTTCCTTGGGCCGCCCTCGGCACGTATTTTTGTAGGTGGTATGCGCTGATACAAAACTATCTAACGGAAGACAATCTTGATGTTTTTTTAGTTATTTTGTTTTTTAAAGTTACTTTTGGAAATAACTTGGGAGGACAGCAATTTTTTTATCAATTGTTCGAAAAAATGTGAAAGAAGAAGTGCCGCAAACTAATTTGTTATATTATTGAAATCGTGCTTTAAAGATCTTTCTTTTGATACCCCAAACCAGAGGTAATCTCTGCCCCAAACGATGGATCAGAAAAAAATTTTTGACTTCCAGTTTAACCACTCCCAAAACTGACCCCAAGATAAAAATCTACTTTTTTAGGTTGAGGTTCAAAACTTACTTGCACCGAAGCTCTAAGCTTACTATACCTCTCTCAGTTTCTCCTCATCAGGTTAATATTCTCGATAAATTTAAGAATATGTGTGATGGACGCTTTCACGATTTCTTCAGGTTCTGGATATTGTACCGCGACGTGCTATTCTCGTTCCCATTTAAGGTTTCGGCAATGGCACAGTATGTGAATAGGAGTTTCGTCCTCCTCTTCATATATTCTACATAGTCCTAAGTTTAGGAAGTTTCAAACAATTTCAGTAGAACCACGCCCACTTTCTTTCGGTTGTTCTATTCTATCACCGTCAAGAATAGGGACCCCAGCTTATGGAATTCTCTATTTCTGTTTCATTAGCACCCATTTAAAATGTTGACATGAAATACATGTGGGTTCTAGTCCAATAAGAGACCTACTCAACTCCCTTCCTGGCTATGTTTGCTTTCTCGTTTTCCTACACTCCGTCATGTCCCGGCACCAATTCAAGAGTGACCTTGTTATGTTCTGCCTGGGCCTATATTAATTTGGATTATACTTCTACTTTTTTCGGAGTCATGTAGTTACTTTAGCCTGCAAGACTGTTGCCAGTGATCTCAGGTCTAGACTAATAGTCCTCTCTGAGTTCGCATAGTAAATCCCAGCTCTAGTACTGTTTTTCATCTGTATACCAGAATTGATTCGTTTTGTGTTTCCTTATTTTCTCGTTTTTGGTACTATTTTTATGGCTTTTGGTTCTTTCTGGCATTTAAATATAGAAGAGTTTCCGAAAGTCATGAATAATAGGCGTTCTATCCGATGGCACTATTATCACCCGATTTTGTTTTAATTTCTCTAATATCATTGGATGGTGTCCTTTTCTCAAAAGTTCCCACCCAAATCCATTAGTAAACAGCCTATATGCCTCCGCCATAGCCTCTTTCTCCACCACAAGGTGTAATGGAGGAAAACCTTGCAGTAGCTCGATTTCTGCAGGCAATTTCTAAATGCAACTGTTATTATTAGACAGGCCAGTATTTGTCCCTTATCTAATTTTCTACTGGCTATGTTGTACTTTTAGCGCTACCATATGACTGATGAGTAGATTGTAAGTGGTATTACAACCACAGTATAAAACTAGTGCATCATACTTGGTTTAAGCCCCCATGTGTTCCGTATCATCCGTCTACCCATAGCACTCTTACAGCCTTTTGTTGTTGTTTTTTTTTTTAATGGAATGCCGAAGCTAAGCTTGTAATCAAAGTTGATTGCAAGATATTGAACCTTCTTCGCTATTTTTAAGTATTGTCGCCACATATAAAGTACCTTCCTTCCTTGCAGATTTCTGTTTCTTGTGATTGCAACGACATAGGTTTTCTCAGGGTTTGTGGACAAACCCTTTGTTAGGCACTTGACGATATTTAGTATCTGCAGCATCCTTCGGAAACAATGGCCCCAAATTTACCATTTACTACGATGCGTATATAGGTTTTCTTTCTCTAACTTCCATTACAGATCATCAACCACCAAGGTCCAAATGAATGGAGTTAAAACTCCTCCCTGCTGACATCTCTTGTTTACTGAGATTCCAGTATTGAATTGTACGAAGCTGAATCAAAGGCCCCTTCTATGTCTAGAAATAATCCTAGTTCTATTTCTTTGCTTTCCAATGCTTGTTCAGCATTTTGAGCTAGTCTTTATATGGTTGCATCGCAAGACTTTCCAGATGGATAAACAAACTGGTATCGTTGCGTTGGGTTATCCCGTAAAACTTCGTCCCGTACATCTTCTATGTTTTTAAGAGAAATTATGTTAGGCTGATTGGTCTAAAAGATTTGGGAATAAAGACAACTTTTGCAGACCTCCAGCTTTATGTAATATATTCTAGAGCTATACTAGCTCTGAATATTTACACAGTGGTCAATCCAGTACTTCTTAGCCCCTTTGTGAAGGTGTTGGGATTATACCATTCCTATTTACAACTGTTTCCAATTTATTTATGTATGTCAAATAGTCTCTGAGTAAAACGCCTGTGACAGACAGATGAACAGATACCGAGATGATTCCATAAGTGTTCCTTTTTGCCAATTATGGGAAGGAACTCTAAAAATTAAACAATCAACAGTTTATTTGTAAATAAATTTTATTTCAAGTACAAACATTAGAATCACAGACACATCTTAATTTTTTATAAGTCCCAGAGCGTTAGCAATTTGCCTACATTTAAACATAACCTCTTCTTGAACCAAACTAAAACACATCGCCACCACAATTAGTCCTATAAAAATATAAACGCAACATGCCAGCAATTGCATTTGGGCGTGAAAGTCTGTAGTTTGCGGTAAACTGTCACCTATTCCTATCGTGGATAACGCTATAAAACAGAAATAGATAGCGTCGAGGAAACTTCTGCTACTCGTAGTTGAGAAAGCAAATGCTCCTGCGCATATGTATGTAACGAAGATAACAAGTACTAGAAGAGCAGGCACTGATGGTGATGATGGAAGAGAAGGTGCTGAAACCCTCTCGTGTTCTGGAGTACGCCAAATTAGTGGCATCCGAGATGGTGTGTCATGAGTACATCTGAAAAAATGGTAAAATAAATTTATAATAGAAACAAATTGTGTTTTGGCAATAATAGACTTTAAACTAATAGGTTTGGCACATACAGTAATTCCAAACAAAACAACGTTATTTACTTGCAATGGAAACGTGGCAACTTTCATGTCAACCTAAACATAACGGAAAAAGTATATTTAGATTTTTTAACTGGTTTTTGACTTCAAAGGTAAAAATAGTTAAGTTGAATCTGCGAATGTGCCAAAAACTTTTGTCGTAGTTAAACCAAAGAATACCTACCCAAGAAGCGAAACTAAATGGGCGATTCGTGGACAAAAAACTGCCAAGTTTTCTCAGTGTTTTAGAGGTGGTTTAACGTCAAATATAGCTGTCAATTCATGTTGAGCAACCAGAGCAACGTTTGGTATATTATTATTATTATTAGCGTTTTGTGAAAATTGCAGTATAGATAAGTAGTTGTATTTAACTAAGTAGTAATTAGAAATTAGATAGTTTTAAAATTTAAATTACAAAAAAGATACATTGCATTATTTGTAAATTTTATTGAACGTTCTTGCATCTGGCTGTCAATGTTTTGTTTTAATTTCTAAATCAGTATTACCTGTAATGATAATTTACGCCTACGTATTATACATCGTTTAATTTCTTACTCTTTTATTTAAATATGTTATTTTTATTGTTTTTCAAACCACTCAAATTAAAAAAGTAAATAAACAATAATACAAAACAATAATCAAAAGATATGACAAACTCACTTCAAGAAACCAAGTCGCTGCTATCAGGATGCAATCGAAATGCATTTACAGCTACCTGCAGTACTTTTGGATATGTAACGTGTAGAGGGTGGGTTACCCCACGGCACTTAGGCCTCACTATGCCTATTGTGTATCCTCAGAAAATGATAGGCACCTCCTATCTCATGAGCCAGCCTACACATTTAGTGTAGGATATGTTCAATGGTTTTATCTTTTTGTTTGCGCCCCCTGCAGGGTGCGAATTCTGACAGTCCCATGATATGGAGATGCTTTCGTACTTGTCAATGACTAGTCAGAATGCCTGTGATCAGACGCAGATTCTGTCTAATCATAGTCAAGTATTTGTTTGTTGTAGTATTGTCAGGATAACTTAAAATCTCCCTGGCAACTCAGCAGATTCTTGTTTCATCCCATCTTTCCTTTAATTTCACAAGAGAATATTCTTTATTAAGGTCTGTCACTACGGATGTTGTCAGTCCAATAGAAGGGCTAAGTCCAAAAAGTATTTGGTTGGCCGCCATCTTGGCTAGTGAATCAGCAATAAGGCTACCTTTCGTTGTGGCGTCACCTTTGCTCCATCTTGGACGGATACCCTTGCCAAAGCTTCATGACATTCTAGTACTAACCCTGAATAAATTCGTAATCTATTCAGGGTAAGTAGTGCTTTTCTGCTATCTGTATGGATAAGTATGTTCCTATCAGCGATTTCTTTTGCTGCTATGAGAACCTTCGCGAGCTCCGTGAACTACATTGGCACTATTGCGCAGTTTATGTTGAGATTTAAGGAATTGGAGTATATTCCACACCCTGGGCATTGTTTTGTTTTAGAACCGTCTGTGTAGATATGTATCGCACTTCCGACTCTTCTATTTGTTATAACTTCATATGGCTTATGGAAGATATAACTCGGTGAGATAAGGTTCATGTTCGCTTGAAGCAGTTGGAGCGTATCGAGCGCATTTTGCCAAAAACGAGCCACCTCACTCGCCTCACCAGATCGTACGTCAGATTCTATTCCAACCGTGCATAGGCGTGTCATTGTCATCAGAGCAACCTCCTTGATGTAAATATGACGGGGAGTGAGACTAAGAACGACTTCCACGGCTCTGGTTGGTGTGGTTTTTATACTTCCTGTTATGTTGAGACATGATGTTATTTGAATTTGTTCTATTTTGCGAATAGCTGTCAATTTTTGGATTTTCGGTACCCCAGACAACTGCACCGTATGTAAGCATAGGTCGTATGATGGCCATGTAAGTCCTTGTGACGACTCTAAGAAAGACACCCCAGGTGCGCCCCACGGTTTGGTGGCATTGTTCATAAGTAATGTATGCTCTTTTGACTCTGTTTTCTAATCGTGAGTTCCATGTTAACTTGTTGTCAAAGGTGTTACCTAGATACTTCACTTCTGTTGCAAAATTTTGTTTTGTATTTAGGAGATCTGTAGGTTTTAATTCCATTTTCATCATTTCCTTGTGAAAAGCATTATTTCTGTCTTCTTGGGATTGATAGACAGTGAATGGTCCTTGATGCACCACTGTTCCATAATTGTTCTCAAAATTACCTATTTGCAGAATGACGGTTATCAACTTGCGCTATTGTGTAGTGACTGTTTCCTACAGTGTTTATTTCGTTATTAAAATAATATATTTGACATAATGAACGTAGTAAGATTTTTTGTCATTGTTACTTTACTATGTGTTTAATTCTTATGAACCAAACGACAAAAACCGATTAATTTTTATACGTTTCCCAGTGTATTAAGTTCCCTTGCTTTGATACATACGAAAACTTATTCAGTTTCGCTTCTTGGGTAGGTATTCTTTGGTTAAACTAAATGACGATTAAAATTTTTGACATTTATGACAGCTGTTGCTATGGTTACTTTGTTTTCTTTGGAATCAGTGACCCAAACTATCAAGGTCCATTGTGCTATCTTAGGGTCGATCTTTTCACCTCTGAGTAAAGTTACATGTAGGTTTACTTGACAGATTAATAAACAATAGCCCTATAGTTTAATCAGCAAGAAGTTACTTTCTACTTTATTCAGAGGTGAAAAGACTGGCCCTTAGTCCACTAATCAAGTGTGTTCTTTGTATAAATCGAAAACCTCTCTAAAAAACTTGTAAAGCAGCGTTACTAACAAATATTCCAACATATTTTAGTACTGAGTTCTTAAATATTATGTACCTAGCTATAGTTAATATAATAATCCAAAAAGGATAAGCGTTATTAAAGATGAACTAGTTTCTTTACTTTGAACCACTAGCCAAGAAGGTCACAGTGAATTAGGAAGAAAGAGTGACCACATATTTTTTTGACCCAATGCTGAACGCTGAACCTGAATACAACAGTGATGAACTTTGTAGAAGTGAGGACCTCTTTTTGGCTCCCCAAAGATAACTACAAAAAGGAGAATAAGTCAATGTAAAGGACCGCCTGTTTAGCTCCAATTCTTACCACATTGCTAGAAAATAATGGCATTTTGATAGACAAATACATCGTTTTGCTGGACAAATACGGTGTTTTTGCTATACATTTTCTGTACAAGATCAAATGTTGGACATACTTTGAAAATGCTCTAGAATACAGCGAAATAATGTACGTATGGGCACCCTACACTACTACCTTTGTTAACCCATTTCATCTAGTGCTACGGCGAAATCCGAATGGCATTTTTTGAAATTAATATAACTTTCAACCAGTTTCTGGATGTTGATCTATTAAACAAAATATCATTTGCTAAGCCGCAAAAACTATGTACATGAGTTCGTGGAAGTGCATAGTTTTGTTGACAATGTTATTACTACTGTATATCAACTTCAGACAATGAACCTAATATTTATATCCTCGAGTTTATCATCAAAAAGCAGCTTAAACCTATAAGTAGTATTAATGAAGACCTTGTATTTTGATAAAATTCAAAAAATTGTATACAAAATAGATAAAATTCGACTTTATAAAACACATTTTGGGTTCACTAAAATAAAAAAAATACTTAAACTACTGTTTTGTACGCATTAAAAATCAAGTTTTGTCTTCTTCAAGACGTGAAAATCTTGACCAAACATAATCTTAGAATATTGAGATAAAAACATGATTTTTCTCTCATTGAAAATAACCACATTTGAGATATCGAATACCAATCATACAGGAGAATCAATCATCTTCATCTAAAATTTGTCTTTATATATGTACTTTTCTGCTTCTTATTGCCCTAAGCTACGCCATTTCAAATCCCCTTTTCTTTATATTTTGACCAGACATGTCCCAATATGGTTTCCTTAGCACATCTCTCTTAAACCTTTTTCATGAACTTGACACCCTAGCGAAATTCCAATTAGATGAACTTTGTTCTAAACTCTCAACCATTTATGTTAAGTATCAACTTAAAACATTAATCTGCAAATCCTACAAAAAAAAAACGAGAGGTATTTTATAACTTTATCTAAAGGGGAGAGTTCGATTATAAAATATTGACCTCAAAATACTAGGACGAAGGGTTAAATAGCTAAATGAATAAAATAAGCCAATAAGTTTTTATACATAATTTGATCACTATCATCTGGATCTTCAGCTTCTTCCAAATCGGACGTTACTGCAATTCCGATAATCGAAGAGTTCATATTCCTCAAAGGGACCGCATGATGTGAGTGGGTGGGACAAACTGGAATAGGTGTCTCAGCCAGCGTTTGTCTAACTTGACCTTGTCTGCAACGTCCTCTTGTATGACTGGCTCTTACGGTGGCGAGCAGAGATCGTTTTTGAATTTCGGCTTGTTCGATGTACTGAGTGTGATGGTTCGATCTAAAGTTGACGTGGTTCGGTGTATTGTGAACTGAAGACGTTTGGATCGATGCTGAATCTAAAAATAGAAAAAACAAAATCAGTTTTGTATCGGATTGACTGCCCATACAGCACACATTATTTCAGAAGTGTTTCAGAAATATTTCAAACATTTCAAACATAACATTTCAAGCACAAGTTTCTGAACTATTTTAGTTAAATATTTCACTAAAAATGTTTCTAAAACATGGTATAAGGTCTGTATTTGTAAACAGAACTCAGCTGAGTGAGTCGTCCTTTAATGTGCAATAATGTCCTGAACGAAAAAAGATAGGTAAGTTATAATGCGTAGGTCGACTAATTGGAAGGTAAAGGGTCGATGGGGGGTGAGTTCTCTTTTTGGTTCAAGAGATATTGCCACTGTATGTTTTTAAATTGTTAAAAGTATTAAAAAAATTAATCTTGCTCAAACGTGTTCACAATGCGGTGTTGCCAAGGTAGAAATTTAAAAATATTTTGTTTTTAGGTATATTTAACTATTATTTTTATTAATTAAATATATTGTTTTAGTTATCGAACTTGAAGCTGAAGCGTCTACCTCAAATTTAGAAAAAAATTAATATGTTGCACAGTGGTTGGAAAACCAAAACTATGATAAAAAGAATGAGTCGCCAGTTTCATCGTGTTTAAATCAGGTTCAAAATATGGTTTACCAAACTGAAACGTTTCCAGAAGAACTGAGAAACAATGAACTGACGGAACACATGCCGGTGCTCATTTTTAAGATCCAAAAAAGTAAAACCAGTGATGACCCAAATATTGGCACCCCTAAGAGTTTTACGAAAAGTCCAAGAGATTTTTCAGCGACTAAAAAATATGGACTCTTGGAAAAGAAATTTAAAAAACAAAAAATTAATTCAGGAAAAGAATATGTTTCTAGACTAGAAAAGCTGCACAAAGCTAAGTCTGTACTAAAAGCTTGTGGTGAAACATGTTTATTTAAATGCTCAGAGAAGGTTCCAGAAATTTGTAGGCAAGACTTATTTAACACCTATTACCAGCTTGCTGATAAGTCTCTTCAGAGAGAGTTTTATCTCGTCACATTGAAAAAAGGCCAAACAAACCTGAAAAACAATACAAAAAGAAAACATTTACGTGTACATACTGTTTTAACGTTAATGATCAAAAATTTAGGGTTTGTAAATTATTCTTTAAAAATACCTTAAACATTTATAATTGTTCTATTGATACTGTATTGAAAAAATTAGATAAATTTGGATTTTTGGAAAAAGAACAAAGAGGCACACATTTAAACCGACCTAATAAAATTAATGCAAATTTGATTGGAGATGCAATAAAACATATTAATAGTTTTCCCAGGAAAGAGTCCTATTATTGTAGGGGTTCTACAGAACGAGAATTTTTGGAAGGATCGCTTAACTTAAGCATTATGTACCGGTTATATAAACAAGAATGTATAAGCGATGGTAGAACTTTCGCTACACAATACATTTACTCAAACATTTTTAATTTAGGGTTTTTTCAGCCGAAAAAAGACTTATGTTCTGTCTGCGAAACGTATAAAAGTTTAAGTGATGACGAAAAAGAAGCCAGAAAAGAACATTTTGAAAAGCACCAAGAGGAAAAGGTTCTGTCTCGTCTGGAAAAGGAAAAAGATAAAAATTTGGCATTACAAGATGAAAATAATAATATTATGTTATGTTCTTATGATTTACAGGCTGTTACTCCACTGCCTAATGGTAACGTATCAACATTTTAATATAAAAGTAAAATTAACGTTTTTAATTTCACGATCTTTAACATAAAAGAAAAATCTGGGTTTTGCTACATGTGGCATGAAGGAGATGCCAAAAGAGAAGCTAATGAAATATCCACTTGTGTATTTCAGTTTTTAAAGAAGCATGGCAAAGGAAAAAAAGTTTACTCTACAGTGATAATTGTACAGCTCAATATAAAAATAAATTTTTGATGCCTATGTATTTATACACCGTGGAAAACTATGACAGAAGAAATTAACCATAAATATCTTATCATTGGATACACGGAAAATGAGGGCGATTCCATGAATTCGTGTATTGAAAAGGAAAGATCAAAAGTACTTAAAAATGGCCCGGTTTGTGTGCTATCTGAACTAGTAACCATTGCTAAATCAGCTAAAAAACGAGGTAAACCATACGAAGTCAATTAGATGTAAACTGAAGATTTTGTTTATTGGAAAAACATAACTAAAATAATGGACACGAACTTTAATGTAAACGAGAAAAAGGAAAAAATTTTATTTAATGATATTAAAATAATTAAAATTAGAAAAACTGAACCTAATAAAATTTTTTACAAGACCTCGAACAAACAGGAAGAGTTTGATGGTATTTATATTAAAAAAACAACAAGGTCCCATCGAGGAAATAATGTAACACTAATTCCGGCTTACGACAAAGCACCACCAATTCCCATTAATAAAAAAATGACTTAATTAGTTTGTGCAATGACAATTTAATTCCACAATTTTTTTTAAATCATTCTCAGAATCCGCTTGTACTTATGATGATTCTGATTAACTTTTTTTTAACTACTAGTTTTAGTTTTAACTTTTTTCCTAGTTCTCTGCAAGTTTCGTTGTTTTTAATTTTTTGTTAAAGATATTTAATAAATATTCTTTTTTTTAATAAAAACTTTTAACAGAAAAATGAGTTTTATTTTTGTATTGTCAAAAATTATAACGCAATTGTAAACATATTTAGTGGTAACCAAAATACAAAGATATTTTTAATGAAACACTAGGACAAGTAACTTTTTTTTCAATTATTTATAATGATTTTTTTTATTTGTTTATGCATTCATATGCAGCTTAAAAAGCTATGAAACAAACTAAAATTTTATTCAAATTCATTCAAAAATAGCAAAGTTATTGAAAAACTTAATTTTCGTCAAATCATTATTTGCATTTTTCTCAAAACGAAGTTTTTTGTGATGTCCTACCGTTGTTCTGAGGCGACGACATATCATGTTCTATGTTTTGACATATTTAATGTTTAGACACTCAGATAAACAAATGAATAATAGATGCCTAACGGTCTGGATTTGTTTGAATCCCGTATGAACCGTTTTATCCACATACTTTGATTTTCTTTTACTATACGGAGAATGGTCGCACTGCGCAGCTTTCTGAGTGCCTTTTAAAAGGAGATAGAAAACTCCGCCATTTTGAACCCTTATTACGTGTTGCCTACATATTGGCGCAATATTTTTAATAGGTGCGTTTTAATCATCCGCTTCTGCTTCGGAATTGTCGGTTTTCTTGTTTTAATCTGACAGGTTAAAACGACTAAACCGACAATTCCGGAAGCAGAAGCGGATGATTAAAACGCACCTGATATTTTGCTTGCTGCTGTCAGTGTCAGTGAATATTATTTTTGAAGTCACAGTTTATTGCTAAAGAATCAGTTAGCTCACTCGGATCAGTTGAAAATTCCAAAATAACATCCACTCCAGGGATACAAATTCAGGATACGCAGAAGACTGCTGTTTTATTATAGGCGGTTGTCATATATTGTATTATCCGAGTTGCACAGTCTATAAACTGAAACATTGAGATCAAAAGTGCCGACGCAGAGTGAGCGATCTGATTCTTTAGCTGTAAACTGTGTCACAGGGTTCAAAATGGCCGCGCCCTATGTTGGGCGTGTCGGACCTCTCTCTTGCCTCGTATAGTAATCAAAGTATGTGGTTTTATCTATTACTTTCTCTTTCTCCATGGTCTTCGATGTGATTCGTCTATTTTAAATAGCAGCGCCAAAATTTTCTCACAACTGTCAACAAGCAGTTGGGAATTGTCAATTTTTTTTTGAAATTTCTGTGTTATTATATTCCCAGAACACCTTATTAAAGTTTTTCAGTTTCTAGTGTGTTTTTTAAACGATATTTATTAGTTTTAAGGGTAAAAATGACTAAGAAGTGTATTATTTGTTCTAAAAGATACATTTTGGGTGGTTCTACCTCCTTTCATTGGTAAGTAAATGAAACACATAGGTGGCACCAGACACCGTTGTGTAATTTTTTTAACTTAAGTATTGATATATTAATGTTTCAATACTAATGTAGATACTACGTTATGTACCTAATTAAAAAATCTGATGTGTCCAACACATGACTTTCCTATCTAGTTATTATAGGCTTTTCCCGGTTATTTTGTACAACCTATTGCAGCATCTCTATAAATGTTTAGAGGATAAACTAAATATATACATTGTCCACATACATCTACCTCGAAACATTTTTCTATAGATATTCATGGAAAACGAAAATACTGAAAAATTAAAATTTCCTACAATTTTTTCAATACGGTCCATTTTAGAAAAATCATGTATAAACAAAAATTATAGAGATCGATATCGCAAACAACTTTTATTTCAAAAACTTTCATAAAAATCAGAATTTTGCACATTTTGTCAAATTTCTCGAATACGGACCATTTCAGGAAATTTTTACATAAAACAAAAATTATAGATAATAATATAAGAAGTAACTTTTATTTGATTAATTTTTTTCTCCAAACATTAATAACAGATATATTCCATAAAATATAAAAGTGGCCTCCCATAAAGTACCCCCCCAGATGTTCCGACTATGTCCAAAATCTAATCATTTCACGTCAGGCCGAAATAAAACTTAAGTTTAAAATTTAATGTTTTTTTTATCCGTTTTTCTGTGTATCGATTCATGAGTTATGCGTTATACAGACACACACACACACAGACACGCAGACACGCAGACACACACACACACACACACACACACACACACACACACACACACACACACACACACACACACACACACACACACACACACACACACACACACACACACACACACACACACACACACACACACACACACACACACACACACACACACACACACACACACACACACACACACACACACACACACACACACACACACACACACACACACACACACACACACACACACACACACACACACACACACACACACACACACACACACACACACACACACACACACACACACACACACACACACACACACACACACACACACACACACACACACACACACACACACACACACACACACACACACACACACACACACACACACACACACACACACACACACACACACACACACACACACACACACACACACACACACACACACACACACACACACACACACACACACACACACACACACACACACACACACACACACACACACACACACACACACACACACACACACACACACACACACACACACACACACACACACACACACACACACACACACACACACACACACACACACACACACACACACACACACACACACACACACACACACACACACACACACACACACACACACACACACACACACACACACACACACACACACACACACACACACACACACACACACACACACAGACATCATCGCGAAAATAGTCAAAACGAATTCAGGGGACCTCAATACGTAAAAATCCGTCGAAAACTCGAGGTCGAAAAAAATCATGATTCCTATACTTTCCTTATATCTGTATACAGATAGGAAAGTAAAAAGAATATATCGCACCATCAATACACAATACCCAAAGCCACTCAAAAAAAATCGCAATTTTGAGTTAAGATACAAAATTCAAATACAACTTCACCAGACATTGTATTCTATTCCAAATTTAAGGCGTATTAATTAATATTATTTTGCTTCTTTATGTAAACATACACAGTTAATTTTAACAGCAATTTTCTTGAAATGCTACTTTCCTATAGTTGTGTTAGTATTGCCACCGTACCGATGAAGACCAATAGTCAGAAACACGTGACTACTGTTCACATTCCCTTTTTTTGTAATTTTTCTTTTTCGGGAAATGTCCACTATTACTACCTTGATGACCTTCGCCCTATACCTTTTTCCGTTTATTAATATTATTGTTTTTAGAATCATGTTTTGTATACAATATTTATTTTAGTTAGTTGATTTCTATATTTTTTTAAGAAATCCCTCTATTTCCTATAAAAGTTTAATTCATACAATTAATTATATTAATAACTCACTGCTATTGTTATATTAAATTCTTTAATTCCTGTGATTATACTTGTTTAACAAAAATCGTATGTATTAACATTTTTAATGTTTGGATCTTCATAGGCTAGAACTGCACGGTAAAACCACTCCATTTTATCTTACTCATCAAATCAATAAATTGTTTTTATGTTTTTAATAATAAATGTGATATTGATACGAAACATAAATGTTAGAGGGGTTTTCGAAAACTTTAAATTCTCCGTAAAAGCTTTTGCCCTCATGGTATTTCTGAATTTATTTTCGTTAATCTGGTATACATCATATGACATCCTTTTAGTATTTGATTTAACAAATCACGTACTGAGACTGGACTTTTTCAAGGCATTCAACAGGGTAAACCAGCTACTTTTAGCTAAACTTTTCAACATGATTTTGTGAAAATGATTGAATAGTATGCTTGTTTATCACACTTGTTCTGAATAAACATAAATCAACAGTATATAGGTAGGTATACTTACTGTAGGGTGACCATGTTTAGTTTAGCCCAATGCTGGATAAAACAACATTGATGATGAACTTTGGTGAGGTGAAGACTTTTTTTTAAGTTTCCAAAGATACCATTCACAGAGAAATCACGTCGAGGACCGGTGGACCTATTTTTTTAGATTAATACAACAGAGAAGTCATATGTATTACGCTATTGTCTTATTTGTTACATTTCAATAAGAAGGGTTGTACAATTACGTTTAAAAAGTACCTCCTGGAGCGGAGTAGAGCTAGATTTTTTAGTTACGTGATCATCGAAATTATGTGATTATGGATTTGGTTGTTTTCGGTTTTCATTAAAATAATACACTTAAACCTTTCTTTTAAATCAAATTTGATCTCTCGTATAGTGGCGTTTGTTGCAAAGTAAAGTGAATTTTTAGCTGTGATATTTTTCGCCTTTTGCTTTCACTAAAAAATGAACCATGTTCTAATTTCTGTCTGAATTTTTTTTATTAATATTTCTCTCTTAAATTTAATTCAGAGTAAATAGATCTTACTAGACGTACCTACCAGCTCTGCATTAAAAGACTATGGAGCAGATCTTATCGAGAAGCCACAGATATAATAAAAGAACGGCTTCGAG